ACAACTTTAAATCGCTTGTGCAACAATTTATATCACAAGTTACCTAAACAATGTATTGTGTTTTAGGTGATCTTAAATGAGATAAGAAGTTAGCTTTTGTGTGTGTTTTTAGGTGATCCGGCCGGTTGAGTTGTGGAGTAAAAAATCAAGGACACTCTAGGAGCAAGCAAGCGTTGAAATGAAACAGTAAAAAGATGGTAACTTTTTACTTTTTGACAGAAAAGATGTTCATTGGCAACGCATTCAATCATGATAATACTGTAACCTAACTGTAAGATCAATTCTTACTTTAATTTCTCCTATTATTTTTTGCTGCAAAATTTTAAAAGTATTTTTACTTGAATTTCATACAATGAGATCAAATAAAAAAAATTGAGCAAACAACATTAATGGCTTAAGTGAACCAATATCTGGTTTAATTGCTTCCATCAATTCTAGAAATCATATGGTTTGTGAAGATAATTTAGTAGAAGTAATAGAGTATTAATTAATTGAGATATGGTACTAATGTGATATTTAACTAAATATATATAATCAAATATATATTCACGTTGCCATCGTGATGTCCATCAAACCTACATATATACCTATGTGACATTTGTGTGTTTGGTACATTCGGGGCTGTTGTTAATTTCACATTCCTAATATCTTTGTTTTAGAATTATTTTTGAAAATATTTAACTTCTTCCGATATCTCACTAATATAAAAGCAAAAACAGAACTTCATTAAATTTTTAAAAGAGGTAACTGACATCGAATATAGTAATAAGTTAAAGTACATATAATGGAAAGCATCACAATAGTTTTCCATAATATTCATAGTTTCTTCGTGACCACCATAACAATCAGTCATGCAAACAACTCATGTATGGCAAATGAATGCAATATTCAGTAACAATTTCCTTGTGTGTGTGTGTATATATATATATATATATTTTGACAGATAATATGTTCACAGCCTACCCATCTCATCTAATCGTGACAATATTGCAACCTAACTGTAGAGATCAATCCAAACAAAAGTTATACATTCAAGTCAGGAGACAATTTAATTTATTATAATTGATAGAGAAACATAGACATATCAGTAAAGAACACACAACCTTAATTGCTAGACAAACTGATAGATAGGCATACTCTGTTGAGTAATCATTTGCTTGCTCATGAGAGCTTCTGACCTAAAGTTTCTATATATTTATTTTATTTATATTTTTAAATTATTTAATTGATTAGTTGGCTATTTGTTTATTTGTTAATTTAATTCATTGTTTAAATGTAAATTGTGTGTCTATTCGATTAATTTGAATTTAAATAATTTAACTGATTTGTTTGTTTATATGATGATGTGTATTTTGTGTAATTAATTGTTAGATTAAAATATTTTATTTTATTAATGAATTTGAATAGTAGTAATTTACCAACTAATTAGGTCCCGTGAATTACTTGGATAGGAGAAAAAATGGATATGGATAATTACCCATGGATAGTTGGATATATATATATAAGGTTAGTTATTAATAATTATTATTAATATTATTTTCTTATAGTAACTAATAGTATTGGTAATAATTAGTTATAGATAGTGTGTGCATATATAATAATAATAATAATAATAATAATAATAATAATTTTAATGTAGTTATATGTATATTATATATATCACGTTAGTTGGCAGAATATAAAAATATATGTATAGTTAGTTTTTATTTTATTTTCTTTCTTCTTAAGTAATTAAAGTTGGAATGGCATTAGGAGTAGTGTATATATATATATATATATATATATATATATATATATATATATATGGTATAAGTCTATAGAAGGGGTTGCACACAACCCTTATACGCAGACAAAGTAGAGAGAGAGATCTCGCTAGAGAGAAAAGAGGAAAGAAGTCGAGAGAGATAAAGAGGAAGAAGAAGTTTGGGTTTTTCAATATGAAAATCCCTAAGGCATGCAAGTTCTAATTTTGTCTCTTCTCCTTTGACTTGTGTTCTTTACATGCTTAGTTAAATTCCAGGATTTTTAATTGGATTTAATAAACTGGTTTGCATGTTAAAAATCTGAATTTACAGTATGTTATATTTGTAATGGGTTTGTATAGTTTTTACATGATTTAATTATATGATGCATGACCTGTGATCTAATTTAATGTAAAGAAGTTTATATGTTCTAAAGTCAATGATGACCCTGACCAGACACAATATTGTCCGCTTTTGGCTCACCCAGATCAGAGACTTCCCAGGGGGTCACCCATCCTGGTACTACTCCAAGTTAAGCACGCTTAACTACAGAGTTCTGATGGGTTCACGGCCATCACGGCTTTAAAACGCGTTGTGTCATAGAAGGGTATTGAATCTACATATAGCACTTGCCCCATCCACACCCAGACGATGTGGGATTGTGCACCTGTAGCTCGCCCAGTGTGGTAGCCTACTGGTGCCCCCTGCACACACTCACACACACCCGCCCACAAGGTCGCCACAATCACCCCCCCTTTGGGGCCCAACGTCCTCGTTGGCCACCCTTCCGGTTGGGTCAGGCTCTGATACCATTTGTAACGACCCTCACCCTGGCCAGACACAATATTGTCCGCTTTTGGCTCACCCAGATCAGAGACTTCCCAGGGGGTCACCTATCCTGGTACTACTCCAAGTTAAGCATGCTTAACTACAGAGTTCTGATGGGTTTACGGCTTTAAAACGCGTTGTGTCATAGAAGGGTGTTGAATCTACATATAGCACTTGCCCTATCCACACCCAGACGATGTGGGATTGTGCACCTGTAACTCGCCCAGTGTGGTAGCCTACTGGTGCCCCCTGCACACGCTCACACACACCCGCCCACAAGGTCGCCACAGATTAACTAAAATGTTAAATCCTACTTATATTCGTGTCAGGCTAACTGAACAAGTTGAATGACCTATCGTGGTTTACTTTATATTGGATAGGATGGATGTTATATATATATATATATATATATATATATATATATATATATATATATAGTTATGAGTCATGATATGAGTTTGAGTCTCAGGATCTATGGTTAGGGTGCGTATATTGCTAGGGATGTGTAGCTAGATATAGTGTAGTTGTGCACCATGGTAGGTCTAGGTACTCATGCCCACTATATGTGCGTTTTGCATGTTGCCTATTATTCAGGTTGAGACAACCCTATAGTCTAGTGAAGTTCCTTTAGTGTGTGTGTGTGTGTGTGTATATATATATACGGATTATATAATTATTGTTGAATTGACTAGGATGTATACGTGTATCGAGTCTCTGTTTGAGATGTAGTAGATTAAAACTTGTTCGTAGGCCTGACCCACTATTATTTTTCAGGTGTTCGTCAGATCCAGCCATAAAGGTGGTTCGTGGCGAGCAGAGACTATCCATTCACCCTTCCAATTCGACGTAGGAGTCTTCCTTATGTTTTAGTATTTGGATTCAATTTTACTTCATTTATTTATTTAGTTTCAGTTGAATTATGGATAAGGGTCCACATGATGGATTCCCGAGTTGTAATGATATCAGAGATTTTGGATATTGTTATTTGGAAGATTATTTAATTATTTATTTAAGGAGTTATTATTTAGTTTCCTTTTCACTTATTTATTTATTTATTATTATTTTTTTGAACTCAATGCTTGTTTAATATTAATTGTTTGATATACTTCGATTCTGTGCTCGGACTTGATCACCTATGACTCTAGAATCAAGAGGTATCTCAAATGTCTAAAAGGGTCCCAAATATATTGTGAACTTGTAAACCAATATATATTATATAAAAATGTTAAACCAACGAGAAGTGGCCTAGCGGTATCAGACCCTTATTTTTCAAAGGGATGTCAAGGGTTCAAGTCTCTATGAAGACATGTGTGTATGAGTACTAACTAGGAAAAAATTATACAAGGGTGTTAGGGTTTGCGACATAAGTATAAAGGAATATTGTTTTTTACTTATAGTGAAAACTATTGCCAATCTTTTCTAACCATATAATCTTTGTGTCTTGTGTGGTGTGTGTTTTATTTTTCTGTCGTTTTCTTGAATCGTGTTCTAGATTTCGTGACATTTGTTGTAACACATAGGATAAGTAGGTTATGTTAGGAACTTTTTTCCACATATCACAAGTATAAAACATGGCAATGAGAAGATCTATGTTCAATCATGTTTATTGGTTAAGGAGAAGAAACAAGTCAAAATAACAATGAAGTAAAAAGAAGAAAGATAGAAAGCTAAGGCCAGATACTTCTTTTAACTGAGTGAGGGTGGTGAAAGGAAAAAGATGAGAAGAAATTAAAAAGGGTTGAGAGGGAAAGGTGTGGGGACTAGAAGAGTTGTCACTGTCCCTTGCCTGCACAAGCATTTGATGCATTTTGGCTATTATAAGGAGAGAGATGATGCTCCCATGCAAATCTATACCCATCTCTTTCCCATTCTGCACAATACCCTAAAATTCCTCTCCATTAATTTTTATTTATTTATTTATTTATTTATTTATTTTTACTTTTTTTTTTTTTTTTCAAACATAAAAATAATAAAAGTTTCAATAGGTTTTTATAATAAACTGATGCGGCAATGGTTGAACTAAACATTTTAAAATGGAGATAGACTATTGATTAGTGTGTAAGAGTTCTTGTCAAACATTGTTTTCTGAAATCACCAAAAGACTGATTCGGACAACTTGACATTATATATAAGATAATATAAAGTATCCATCTAGTATGTATATAAGGGATAAAATCTGCATATATATATATATATATATATATATATATGTATTAAATATGTATGAATATGTGAGTATGAATATATATAGATGTATGTATGTATGTGTAGATGTATCATGAAGTGGTTTGAGGGATAAAATTTAATTTGCAGATAGAATTTTGTCATATGTGGTCGAGTAGTAGCATTCTACACCTCCTTTTAGTTTGTCCTTTTTGATTGTGTATTTGGGTGACATGAAGTCACGTGAATGGTTTCAAGGCCTTTCCTTGCCTTTCTTCTTTGTAAGACCTTTACCTCTATTATTTAGGCTCTCTCTTACCCTTGTTTTTCAACCTCCAAACACTCATATTCTCCTCCTTTGTAGGACAACAGCTACATCCACACACACAACACAAAACACACACATACACACACTCTCTCTCTCCATGACTCCTGCCTATCTGAATCCATCATCATCACCATCTTCATCCTCACCTTTATCTTTTGTAGAGCTAAAAGAAGATCAACTATTGCAATTCTATAGTCCATCACATCAACCTTCATCCTCTTTCTCATGTCCTATTTTCTTCAAAGTAGCTCAAGATCAAAGAGGAAGTCAAGCTATAGAGCCAAGACAAGACCAACAGAAGGCAAGAACGTACACTTGTATTTATTTGACTAAAAAATTAAAATTTTTGCGTTTAAGTTTAATCGCTAGATCACTTTTTGATCTTTTAGTCTTGATCTCTCTTTGATCGATCACATAGTATGTCCTCTAAAGTTTCTACAATTTGATCCCTTCATTTTCAACCATGGTCTCATTCCACTAATCATATCTCATTGGTGTGTGTTTAACACTGAAATTTCAAAATGTTTTCCCATGATCACTTTTTCAATCTCATATTAATTAAAATACCATATGATATGATTTTTCTTAGCATACAAAGTTGAAAGTAGTGAATTGTCAAATATATTGTGTGCGCAATTACTTAAAATTCATTAATTGTCTGTGGTCCAACCTCTTAATTAATCTCTTTCTTGATCTTAGGCTGATGATAAGTACATGCTTCATGAGGGACCAAGTGATCACCAAGTACTTCCATCTACTTCAGTTCAGACAACAGTACCGGATGACAATTGTACTAAATTTGAAGGCAATAAATTACCAAATTATTACAAGCTCGAGGATGAGAATGAAAAGGACATAGATGATGTGTCAGCAAAGTGGATGTCTTCAAAAATGAGATTAATGCAGAAAATGATGGATACGAGTCGCGCAGGAATGGATCAAGAAGAGAGAATTGTGCAGAAGTTTCATGATCGAAACAACAACGAAACTACTCATCAATATCCCAACAACATCAACAATATTGTTAGAGTCTGTTCTGATTGTCACACAACCAAAACTCCCCTTTGGAGAAGTGGCCCTCAAGGTCCTAAGGTTATTTTCATCCCTCTCTATGATCTGGATCTATATATATTATATGTACACACACACACACACACACACACACACTAATTAGCCCTTGATTTTATGACACTACATGCTGGTAAGGTCCTAAGCAATGTTGTTTTCACTCATCTTTTATCTGGATCTCTCTAATCATGCACTTTTGAATCAATATTAGAGAAAGTGCAATTTAATTAATTTTATTAATACATGTTGATCTTCAATGTCTTAAAGTTACTTTAATACATATTTATCTGGATCTTTATATAAATCTCCAGTGAGCACTTACCCTTTAATGATTAGATCATAAAGGTTGTCTACTACATATTTATTTTATTTTTATATAATATTTTCCCTCTCCTTTTTTATTTTTTTATTCCCTTCCATCATTCCTTAAGTCCCACTGGTTTGATCTTGTAGAATTTGACATATACTTTTCTCGTTGAGTGAATGGTGCTAAATAAATCTCATAGATTTTTCGTTCAAAAGGACTATGTGAAATCTTCGGTTTTTCATCTTCCTCTATCCTAATTAAGTTAATTTTATGATACAAAATGTTGCAGACACTATGCAATGCATGTGGAATCCGGCAAAGGAAGGCTAGACGAGCAATGGCAGCTGCTGCTGCTGCTGCAGCAGCTGGCAATGGCACAAACCTTGCCACCAATTCAACGACTGCAAGGAGTACCAAAGTGCAAAGCAAAGAAAAGAAATCGCGTAAAAGCTACATAACACAATACAAGAAACAGTTGAAGCTGCGTCACTCTCAGAGCGAAAAGAAGCTCTCTTTTGAGGATTTTGCTTTGAGTTTGATTCAGAATTCGGCTTTTGGAGGAGTATTCCCAAAGGATGAAGAAGAAGCCGCGGTCCTCCTAATGGCACTCTCTTGCGGCCTTATCAATTCATAGTTGATTTTCTCAAGTGAATTAGGTTTCTAAATTTTTGGTGACATGTTTCTGTTTGGAGAGAGATAGAGAGAGACGAAACATTTTAAGTAGTCTTTTGAGCATGTTGCAAACTAAAAGTTTGAGTTTGCTTCATTGATGTAGCTAATAATCTTGAACTAATAAAGAAGATAATTAAATAATATTTAAGGTCTTTTATCCTTAATTAATTTACTTGCTGAAAGCCTTTTTTTTTCTTTTTCTTTTTTTTCCTTAAAACTATCATATACCATTTCATGATTTGAAAGAAGAATTTGGGTTTTTTTCATTTGAAGATATTCAAGTATCTGATGGGTATTAATGATATTTGTAATGTGCATAAAATATGTATGTATGTTCTGCATGCTTGTGGACACTTCATTCATGTGGTTGAAATTAAACTGTCAGTATGCATTTTAAACTGATTGTTGACAGTCACAAAGCGAAACCGAAGATCATACTGAGAACTGAGAAGAAACTGCCACTGCTGCTTCTGAAATCGGTTCATGAGACTCTACCATTTGTCAAAGATCAAACATTCATGCTGAGAAGAGCTTGTATATTTCTTTATCTTCAATAAATTGCTTATTGACCGGGAAAAAAAGAAAAAGAAAAAGAAAAAAACTGTCATAAATTTGATCATGCTGGCCATGAACATTTTTGTCTTCTCTGGTACATCCAACTAATGAATCAACGTAGAGATCAACTATCATATATAAACTATCACACATAATATATATGTTATATGTGCGTGTATATACACAGAGAACAGCTCAGTTTCTTCCTGGTGTGCTAGGAACAACGTTACCTATAAGGAAGCGCGCACAGCATTAATCCAAAACAATTATTCTATATATTTTTCTATTTTAAAACATGGGGAGTTTTTAATATAAAGTTTTCATATATGAAGAGAGAATGGTTTGGAGAGAGCTAAATTGGTAAAGTGTAAAGAAGGCTATTTTAGTCATTTTGCATAAAAAGAAAAGAAAAAAAGAAGTAAATAACACCAATTATGAAGGAAAAAAAAATTGCAAATAGTGAAAATCAATGCTTTTGTAATTTTTTTTTTTTAAAATATTCCATTTTTCTGAAAAAATGGAACTTTGACTTCACTTGTTTGTAATTTAACTACCAAAAGACAAATTTTTATAATTAAAAAAAATAATAATAATGCTAAACCCTAAATAAAAACCAGGAAAGAAGAGAGAGACACAAGAAGCAAAATGTGTGTGTGTTTTTGGGTCTTGGTACATGGGAATGGAATAGGCATTTGTCAACTAAGGAAGAGGAATGCAAATTTTAAGCCAATAGATAATTAAAAATCAACATTTCAGTACATTCTACAAATAAATGACCTTGAATCATACACCGTCCAATTTAAAAGACCAGAAAATATCACGATTCAGGACTAAAAAGTTAAAAAGATATCCCAAATTGAAAGGTGTATGATTACCATGCATCTATATATATATATATATATATATATATATATATATTTGCATTTCATTATCCTTGAACCCAAACATATCCTATAGGCGAGACTCAGACACCTTTTATACATATGCTATTTCGGTAATAATTGATACATTCAGCTATATAGCAATAGTAGAATTTATTTTGTCCATGGTATAAACCCACGTAGAAACATGTTCGTTTTAGAGATAGATCTTCCCTTTTCAAATATATTAATAAAAAAATTCTTTATTATCCATTGTTTGTTTTGTTATATATTTTATTGGTTCATTTCGTGTACAGGTGCATCTAGGGGTGGGCTCGAGCCCAATTAATTTTATTTATTTATTTATTTTTTACTATAGTCAATTTTAGCCCTCCTTAAAAAAAAATTATTACTAATATTAGGCAATCCAAAAAAATAATGAACTAATGAGATGATTATTGAAGATGATTTTAAGTGATTACTCTAATATTAAAACTTTTCTCATCCTTAATAGTTCATGTTTAAGGTTTTCAAAACTATAAGCCTTTTAAATCCTCCAAGCATAATAAACCGGCGGGTGCGGATTGGGCCTTTGTGTGGGGCTTTTTGGACCTGGTCCTTGGGCTTGGCTATGTTGTATGTTTGTGATCCATTTGTTTTCCTTTTACTTTTATGTTGCCCTTTACACCATGGCACATGCCCCATGTTTTTTATTTTTTATTTTTTTAAAAAACCTTTTTGTGTTATATATCACCTTACTTTTGGGAAAAAAAAAAAAAAAAATCCTAGAAATCCCGATCCTCTCTTGTGAAACGGGATGTGCTGCGCCACTCCCTAACAACTTTATATTAATTATGCAACGACTTTAAATTGTTTATAGACAACTACGTTGAATCGCTTATGCAACAACTTTACATCTCATGTTTCGTAACTATTACGCAACAACTTTACATCTCATGTTTCGTAACTATTTTATGTTGCGTAAGTGGCACAAGACATCATGATCAACTGATTTTTCAAGGTCATACTTGCTTAAGAGAGCTACTCTTGTTTGTCTGTCATGTTTCATCACTTTTGGGATGCAAACATATTTCACTATTTAAAGAATTACAAACACCCACCCCGTTCCCTTCATTTCTGAAACAAAACATGACATTTTTCTTCTTTCCTTTTCATTGAGACACTCTTCTCCCCTCTCCAGTTGAGGGATCTCTTTGTTTTGCTCCTTGGTTGCCTAGTTAGAAGAAATATATATATATATATATATATATATATATATATATATATATATACAATAAATACATAAGAAATCTACTTGGCAGATCTTACATAAAAATCATAGAATAATTGAAACAAGACATAATAATGTAGGCCAAAACCACCAATATTTACAACAATACTAACCTATTACAGATGATGATATTTGATTACACATTCATGGAACTGTGACAAGCCTCTGAAATTGAAACAGGAGGCTCAGACAGGGTACCGTTGAGAATGAGGTTCGTGACCAATTGATTGGCTGCTTCAGAGTAGTGTACGCCGTCCCAACTTATGTGGCTTGATGGATTACTACATGAATTATCATGCATTGTTCGATTCACTATCGTTGTTTGACCACAATCTATGTGATAATAACCATAACCATAATAACTGCCACAACAGACTTTCAATGGATCATCAAATCCTGCCATCACAAAGCCAAAAAACAATCAGGTGAGCAGTGTCTGTGGACAAAAATCATGTAACAATAGTATTGACTGATTGCAGTTGAGCTTTGAGTTCAACATTCTTCGTTACTGAGTTTACCTTGATTCTTCGCATTGCTAATAACTGCATATTTAGCAGAATACACATCAACGTATGTGAATGCTGCATACAGGAGCTGTGCCCTTAGCTGGGACACCCTGTCCTTAAGCTGCCTGTTGAACTCCTGAGCCACTCCATTTTGAGGCTTCACGCATCCGTTTTGGTCTAAATTGCCGGACTTCAGCTGGTAGTATATAACACTGTTTGGCAAGCAGCCAATTGGGCCAGTGTTATGTATCCAGAAGACTCTTGCCCCTTCTTTGTATAGTTGCTGAAACATGGATTGTGGCACACATTAGTTTTGATCCTCATTTGATCAAACAAACATCAGGTGGTTACAGAATATGGAAATTGCACATATCCTGAAATTTATTTGTATCCTACAACTTGATCATGACCCTCCAACAATGGTCAAAAAGGATTATTGTTGCTTACATGCAAGGCTTGTGAAAACTTGCCTAGGATATCGGAAATGGATGCTAGGACTAGTTCCTCTGTTGTTTGTTGTAAACCGTAGGCAATATCATTCTGTCCAATGTCAAATGTGTACAGAGCCTTCGAGAAGTCCTGGGGCCTAGGGAGACTGCTTTTAAATGGTGGGGATCTCCTTGGATCAATGTAAATTAACCGTAAACCGGTGTGTCCTAGGCCTATATGGCATCAAGGTGTAAATCACATGTTCATATCCTCTACATTTTTGCAGTCCTACAATGTGCCCTTAATCATTCCTTTTGAAAGAAATTTGTTTCTATTTCAAATGGAATATAGTCATGTGTGAGCTTAAAAAGGAAGTAGAGAGGAATAACTCACTGTTGTTGTCACTGAGTTGCTTATAGAGTGAAGTAGTGCGCGACTTGAATTGTGTAAATTGAGAGATTTGAAGGTCTAGGTGGAAAGGGCTATAGCCGCCTGGACGGATGGAGGAACCTCCTGTCGCAAATTTTGCACCGTGCCTGAAATTCGTGCCAATTGAGTCCAGATAGGCACTCAAGTATGGCAACCCCAAATTCTCAGCTGCACTGGCCGGATAGCGAAACTAATTAGAAATATGAAATGCAGATATGTAATACACACACCCTCACAACAATGATGTCCAATTTGTAGTGGCACTCAAATGGGATAGTAGCATTTCCATTTCAGTTACTCACTTAAACCCAATATTCTTATTAATATCTCTAATACACGCAATAGATTGGTAAGAAGGGAGGAACAAACAATGACCCCCTATTGAAATTGGCCTACTGCCAAAGCAACTGGTACTTAGAATGGACAAGGGGCGGGTTGTCATTAAGGTATGATTCCATCTAGAATTGAAGTATGAACTCCAAAAAAAACATTAATAAAAATAAAATTATATATTTTCTATTATGAAATTTGTTGTTACTCCTATATCAGATGAATCTATTATAATGGTTTGTTTCCGAATTGAGTCGATTGGATTTCCATATACATACAAAATCATTTCTGAGGATAGAAAAAAGTTGTACTTTATGGTTCTATGAACTGCACCTATTATTCACTGTAGAGACAAAAACTACTTGAGGATTTCCATGTGCTCTCAACAATGTCAACTATCAGTTGCCCAGATTGATGGAAAAATTTGGGATTCAGAGCAATTTATTCTTGAACCATCACATATATATATATATATCTAATGATTAAGTTGTAATGACTAATGGTCAAATAATGATAGAATTAAAACTCGAATAAAATAGGATATAAAATATAATAAACCTTGATAAATAATGATTTTTATTAAAAATCCTCAACAGTATCAACTCCTCCAATCTCCAACCAAAACTGAGATACTGTGAAAGTCAAGTAAATATAATAGATAGATAACATTATAAGGCCACTGACCTATGAAATCTATGATGAGACGACCATCACAGAACCTTCCGGAGGGCTTGCCAAAAAAGGTTTCACCATTGAGCGGAGGCAGCTCGTCTAAGGCGGCTGATCGACCGCCGGTGTCCGAATTTGAGTCGCCAAAGTTGTATATCGCCGGAAACCCACAGCTGCTTGAACCAGCCCGGCCACCGCCATCACCGCTACTGATTACTCCACCAGTCAAACCAGCAACCAACAACATCCCAAATACCCAATTTATCATACTTTTCCTCTCCATGGCTGGTTAGCACTTAGATTAACTAGGAAATATATAGTAATTTTTTAAAAGTTGGAAGGCATTTTATTGTAATAAAATACAATACAATTTAATTATAAACATAATTAAAGAAGTCTAACAAGGGAGACCAAAATAATTTGACAAACAAAGGAGAAGGCAGCATAATTTGACAAACAAAAGGATATATTGCATAAAACTCTTATTTCTTTTATTTTTGGCAAAGAAATTTTTTGAAAAAATAAATTGACATAAAATCTCTTTTAAGTATTTAATTTGTTGCAAAGTGATGTTATAATGATATAAACGTACTTTAAAATAAATTTTTTAAAAGAATTATTTTTTTTCCTTTTCAATTTTTAATAAATAGAACTTTAAAAAAAGTTTTAAAATGCACACCATTAAAGTGAAGTTATAATAAGAAAATGCCATTTAATATAGATTTAAGAAAATTTAGATTGTATTAAAATGATTTTTATTTTAGATTTTTATTTATATATTTATTATAAAAAATTAAGAAGAATTTAAAATTATCCCAAGACTAACCATACAAAAATATTTGAATTTTTTTTGACACCACTATGCCAATGAGTTATGTGTATTAATTTTAATTTTAATTTATATTATGAGAACTGTTTTAACAAATTTATATTAATGAGCTTTTTTGTCATAATAACATAGCTTTGCAAAAAATTAAATAGTAAGTGAGGTTTTATGTCAATTTTTTTTTCTTGCAAAGGTTTTTGGCCTATGCAATTTGCTCAATAAATAATTGATGACACTTTGACGTGTATCACCCTAAAGTCTTTCTCTATCAACATCCAAACTTGCAATTGGATGATAAGGTGGATCTTTAATTGTTGGATGAATCATATTTTTAATGTATCGAGTATGAGTTTGAATTCCCTCCACTATGCAAGTTTGAACATTAATTATCACCCGTGTTGCGGAATTAGAACGAGTGAAAATCCTCCTATTAAAAGACTCAGACCCAAAAACTTTAAATGAGGCCTCTAACACCACAATTATTTTTACCTGTATCTTTACTACCATAATTTAATTTATTTATTATTATTTTTATTAGCAAGTGGTACTTGAATTTTTTTTTAAAGTCCTGATGTTCCTTGTTGTGGTAGAATTGTATATCTAGAGCAAAGATGGCTTGTCACTAGGAGGAGGTCTTGGCTAAAAAAAACTTGGAGGAATAGAGGGATAAAGTGTTGGAAATTTTTAAATAAATAAAAATTATTTTTTTGGTCTTATGCCCTATATGTTCTAAAATTAGATTATAATGTAATTATTCATACCTATGGATTGGGTTGTAAACTCCAATTTGTGTGATCTGTTTAAAAATTTTAGTTGGATTGTGATTTTCAACTTTATTAAGTCAGATTTAATTTTAGTGATTGATAGCTAAATTTCTTATGTTGATTTGTAGAGAAACGGTCTCCCTTATTCAACCATCAAACCATAACTCTGGTAATCAAATTTTAAATCAGGCACGATTGCTAAATCCTTCTCTTTAATTAATTATAGTATATTTGGCTTTTACTTGCATATGGAAGCTTTTTGGGTTGATTGGATTAGGAAATATTATATTAGGAACATGTGTTTTTGGGTATTAAAGCAGCCTCTATATGTTCATGGTACTGCTAGAAGATTTTGCAGCTGAGCAATACTATTAGACCTTTTTCAAGAATATTGTAAAAGATGAAATCTTGGGAATATTCCAAGACAGATCTTTTATCTTGTGGTTGGCAACAAGTCAAAAGCTAAAAAAATGTAGATAAAATTCAAGGATTTAAATTTTCTATTGGTAATTAGTGTCTGCTGTGTAAGGCTGCCAAGGAATCCCACAATCCTAACTTTTTCAATTACTCAGTTTCTGATTCTGTTTGGAAGGAAAATGGTTTCTGTAAAAGAACTCAAATGCTCTGTCTAGCAGCCCCCGTGTATTTCCTATGGAGAGAAATGAATGCAAGAATGTTTATATTTTTTGATTGGGATCCAATTTTTTTTTTTTTTTAGTTGTTTTATATTTTTAGAGTTTGTGAAACATTTTTCGAAAAATTGAATCATAGAGTGTCTACTTGTTTGATGATTATAGAAAATAGGATTGGGAAAGAAAATGTTAATTAGTGAGAGCAAGGCAGTAATATTTTATTTAATTCTTTTTTTTAAAAAAAACTGCTTCTGGTAGAATTTGAATTTAATCCTGAAAACGAGTTGAGTCAAGTCTCAACTAATTAATCAAGCAAATCCAATAACACACTAATAACGAATAATTAAAGAACTGTTTCTCACGTACACAAATTCACAATGGACTCTCTACGTAGCATAAAAAGAATCATAAGAATCATAAATACGATATGATATGAACATGACAACTAAATGAATAGACCATCTAATGCTTTCCACCCACAACTTCGACAAAGCCAACTTTAATTACTTGTATTTTGGCCAACAACATCTCATAACAGAGGAATAGTCTTCATTGTTGAATGTTACACTTACATTTATTTGAATTTTAAATCATATTATGATAAGTTAGCGAATGAAAATTCTGGAAGCCGACAAAGCTTTGGATCTGTATAATCAGTAGCCGACAAAGCTTTGGAAATGTCCTATTTCTTGATTTTCAGTTTATATCAGACAAGACACTAGTGGGTATTACCATTTGCCAAATTGCGCGAGATCTTCCATTCTTTTCTTCCACGACACAAATGGTCATGGTAGTACTTAATATGATGGGACCCATAATTAATAAAGTCCCATTAGATTGATAGAGTCGAAGAAAAATGATTTATTAGACTATATCCAATACAAATGCTATATTATTATACTAAATCTATATTTTGAGAGGTATTATATACTTAAAATGTTATATTTTTGTAATGCATTTTATTAAAAAATGTTATTTTTTTGACACAACAATCATTTTATATTTTGAGAATTTATTAGAGTGCATTATTTTCATCGATCACTTGTTTTATTTTGAGTTGGATAATGTTTAATTACTTACTGGTGAGTAGTTTCACACTACTCACTCCTTATGTTCCAATAACAAAATGCCACGTTAGCTTTAATAGAAAAGTCATGTACGTTTATTCAATGGTTGATCCGAGAAAATACAGGAGGACGTGGGTTATTTTGTTATTAAAGCTAATGTAATATTTTGTTATTGGAACACACGAGAGGTGAATAAGGTGAAGTTATGAGTAACTAAGCATTATCATTTTGAGTTTGAAGGGGCATTTGAGAGCTGTTATATTTGACAATAATTTTGACAATCTCAAAATATGAGAAGTCTTTTGAAGGAGTATTTGAGAGCTGTTATATTTGGTAATCCTTTTGACAATCTCAAAATATGAGAAGTCTTTTGAGAGGTCATTAGAGTACCTTATTTTCATTCACTTGCTATATTTTGAGTTTGAAAGACCATTTGATAGGCCATTGGAGATGCTCTTAAGAGATTCAAGAGGGAAAGAAGATGACATTGTACAAATATTACATTAACTTCCTTAGAGAAAATATGAAGTTAACTCCCTTAGAAAAAATATGAAGTGTTTCGATCAAGAGAGCCTATAGTTCACAATGTGTATAGGAGGTTACTTCCTCCCTTCTTGCTCCTTTTGTTCATCCCCTCCCATTACCTTAGATAATCTCTTTTATAGCCTTAGAGATCAAGTGAGTGGGTGAAGCCATCCATGACATCACATGTGCGTCCATAATAATTTTAAAAAAGATTAATTTCTTAAATAATTATAAAGTAATATTAATTAAGATATGATTAATTTGTATAAGAGTTAAAATGGTATTTCTCTCTACAAGTTAGGTAAATTGTCAATGAATCCTGGACTTCAGTCACCAAACCAAATACCTCCTCAAATCCCAGATAATTCCGAGTCTTTCTCATAACTCAGGTTTTTAAGTTTTCAATCTTCTGTTTGAGGTATATATGTTGATGATGTGGTAACTTAATTTGTCCGTTCGACCGTAAAATGTGGACAATTATTGATTGATGTTGCATAGTCCGTTGACCGAAATTGGAACCCATAAGTCCCGCTTAAATAGAATTGCTCTATGGTAATTAAGTCGAGTATACCGTGTTATTAGTATGCCTACAAAATAATATTTTTTTTTTTCAAAAAAAATAAAAATAAATAAACCACCAAATAAAAATTTTGTAAATCAATTCGCGAAGAACAATTTTTTATTACACCCTTTGTTTTCGGAGGCCTATCATAACTCGCAGTTTAAATTAAGTTATTCAATGATTCAGTATTATTTTAATTAAGAAGTTTAACTAGTGCTTGCTAAATTTGTTATTTTAAATTGAGTTGTTCAATGATTCGGTAGATAGGATGTAAACTTCTTCTGAGATGGGGTCGTACTTGCATGAAACTTGCCTATACACTTGCTGAATAAGATGTATGTATATATTTATGTAGACAATCAGGCACAGTCTACTTCAAGTGGTGTCTCTCTTGTTTTTTAAACGATGGATTAGTTTTCATCTAAGTAATTATTTTCTGAATGTCGAAAGTTCGAAATTCTCTAGGGAATTTTTTTTTTTTTTTGACAATTGTTCGGTTTATGTGGAATGGTACTGCATGAAGTGAATTAAAAAGTATTCTAACAAGCCTCACACTATATATATATATATATATATATATATATATGTTTGTAGTGTGTATATATAAAAATATATTAGTGGATTTCAACATTGATCCATAAATAGGTTGCCCATTAGCAAATTCACCGTTTGGTGGATGGCTGAATTTTTAGATTTTTAGTCTTTGTTGGGTGGTTTGAAGAGCTTGCTCCCTGGTATAGATATGGAGCAATTAGGTAATAGAAAATTAAAGGGTAGTTTAGTCTTTTAATTTTATATACAATTTATTTATGAATATTAATATATAAGTGAGGGCAAAATTATAAAATCACACAACTTCGTCAATAAAGTAGACTGATGTGAGATGAAGGGAGTGTAGGTGAAATATTATTGAAACCTAAAAAGAGTGTAAGTGGCATATAGTCAAAGATAAGGGGGCGTAGTTGAAATTAATCCAAATATCTAATATATATATATATATACATACAGTGAGTGAGAGAGAGAGAGAGTTTTCTTATAACTTTGTGAATTTTTGTGAAATAAACAAGAAGAGCCAAGGAAAAAAGAAAAGTAATATATAGTAACGATTTGTAAATTATATACATATAGCGCAAATTATACTGACACTCATTCAGAGGTCAAATCTCATATGGATGAATTGATTTTAACTTTCACTCACATCTTGAAGAGTTGATACGTATTTCATCATTCCAAAAGTTACTTTTAGGGATGCACAAAAATTAGGTTAAATCGAATTAAACCAAACCAGACAGTTTGGCTTGGTTCGCTAATGGTTTGGTTCGGTCACGGTTCTAAATTTGTGAAATCATAAAGATACGCTTTGGTCACAGTTTGAGGTCCTTTAGGATCGAACTAGACCAAACCGAACCTCTATGTTATATATATATATATATATATATATATATATATATATATAATATAATCCTACAATTTAAATCACTCAGAAGTTTGTACCAATTATCAATATCTTATGGTCCACTCTCAATTCTCTTAGGTTTTAACAATTTATTAGATGATTTTTATTTTATTTTATTATTATTTTTTTTTTATGGTGACTTTATTTTGAATTGTGACTGATTGTTTGTTATTGAATTAGTAATTCTAAATGTATTAGTTTATTAGCAATTTTGAATTTATTCATTTCAGTTCCAGAAGTAATGGAGAAGAATGAACTTAAAGTTCTGAATATATTAATCTTTCTGAATGTTTTGATAACTTAGTTTATTGTTGTGCATATGAATTTTGAAATATGAAATACTTCTGTAATAAGAAGGGAAAAAGAAAAAAAAAAAAAGGGAATCGTGGAACCGAACCAAACCGTTTTTTCACGATTTGGTTTGGTTTGGTTCGGTTTAAAATTTTATGAAACCGCTAAAATTGGTTAATTTAAAAAAATTCTTAAACCAGTTCAAACCGAACTATGTGCACTCCTAATTACTTTAGAATGGTGTCAAAGCATTTTTTTACACGTAAAATGATAATATTACCATTTTGACTTTGTTTCGTATATAAAATGACTCAATTTTTTATTTTATTTTATTATTATTATTTTTTTTGTTGACTAATCCAAGTGAACAAAATAGCAAATCCAAGTGAAAAAAATAAAATGGATCCTAAAACTTTAACAGGTAACCTATACTGGCTTACCCATGTACCAACCCACCAACCCACATCACTTTTTCCCTTCCAATTCAATTACGAAGGACCATCAAAGTAATATAGTTTGCCATAATAATTTATTTATTTAGTTTTTTCATCCGGAGAATGGAGTGGTAATTCAGTTCACAAGAATAGAGAGAGATTTGGGTGTGTGGGTTTTGTATATTAAAAAGGGTATTTTTGTAATTTAAGTTTATAAATATTTTGTATTAAAAAAATAAGGGTAAATTAGTCAATTCGCATGTGCCATATCCCAAAAAATAATTTGAAGTATAATTGAAATTTAAAATCAAAATATCCATTTATGTGAGATTTGACCTAATATGAGGGGTGTCAGTGTAATTTATCATATTATATATCAATATTTCTTTGTAAAAAAAAAAAAAAGAAATTTATGTTTATTTTTACTTGTTATTTTATTTTTAATCTCAGAATTATTTCCACTTTATTATAATTTAGTTGAACCAAACTATTTATATGCGGCAGTGTTTTTTTAATTTTTTCTTTTTTTGGCTAATTTATATTTCTATCATGTGATCTAATTACTAAATTTTCAGATGAATAATTGAAGAACCAATTGTATAAATGGGAACGGAAATTAGATTGCTTTGATAAATCGGATGCGTTTTAGAACTAAAAATATTAAACAAAAATAGAGATGAGGAGTCAGATTTTCGCTCCAAACTGCCCATTACCTATGCATAACCTATTACTTTTTATTCTTACTTAAATAATTTAATTTAGTTTCTTCACTCTCTCAAAATTCCTTGTTATGCAAAGAATTATGGAACTACAGTTATTCATCAAGTCTATCTATATAGACTATATATATATTTTTGAATGGTTTCTTATATCCACCTACCTTTCGCTACTTTTATTAAATAACATCAATGCCTTTATTGCCTGACAGCGAAATGAACATACTGTTTTTTGCTTTCCCACTAACAACTTTTTAAAAGCCAAATTTAATTATTTGTATTTTGGGGCCCACTACCTCTTATATCCCGCACCTTCGTGCCCCTTTCCTTATTGTGGAACTAATTAAGAACATCAACGAAAATTTAAGTCACAATTTCATTGGTAAGATTGGCCACACCACTATTCTAAATCAACTATTCTATATTATGAACATACTTTTTTTTTTCTTTTTTTTTTTGAAACAAAAAAAAAAAAAAAAAATACTGTTTTTTGCTTTAAAAAATTCTAACTTTAATTATTTGTATTTTGGGGCCACCACCTCTTATATCCCGCACCTTCGTGGCCCTTTTCTTATTGAACTAATTAAGAACATCAATGGAAAATGAAGTCACAATTTCATTAGTAAAATGGGTTTGGGTGCGATTCACCGTAGGGTTAAAGTTGAAGAAGGCTGGGGGTGAGTGAAGTTAGAGAGAGAAAGATGAGGAGAGAGAGAGAGAGAGAGACACGAGAGGGAGGTGGAGGAGGATGAGATGTCACTAAAACTACGACATGTAAGTTTTGGTCATTTTCGTCCTTTCACTAAATTAATTTTTTATTTTAATAATATGTAAAATGGCTCAATAAGATAGTTTGAAATAGTGAACTTTAATTTTGGAAAATGAAGTCACAATTTCATATTAGAGGAAAAGTATACATTATTGAATGATCTTATTTAACTTCAGAGAGGAAAAGTCATGCAGGAACACTTTTTTAAAAAGTAGATCAATCCAATTAATTAATGATGTCCCTTGGCATCTTCCATGCATCTGCAATGAGCAGTGATAGCGTCACCCTCTAGATGGACTTGGTAGGTCACCCGTATATGGGGATTGGATTAATACCTAGCTTGGAAATGACATGACCAATATTGATTGGTAGGGGGATATATCTAGGTACTCTACGGGTGAGAAATATACAGTCAACTGAAAATGTCATATATGTGAATGAAATGACTAACATGCCCTTTTGTCATTTTCTTATATTGGATTAACCAATTCCTGGATATGTGTTATTTTTGTACCCAAACACTCCTATCTATCTAGCCAAACACTCGCTCAATATTTTTTTTTTTCCCAAGGTTGCCTTTGCACCCTCTCCCCTCTATTTTTCTCTCTCTAAAAAATCTCTCTGCACACCCATTTGTCTCTCTAAATTATATCTCTTTGCTTAGTTTTATTAGACAACAAGACTTGAGAAACCAAAGTCGCGTGGGGACCGACTTATAATGTCTTTATTGCCTAACAGCTAAAGAACATACTGTTTTATGCTTACACACTAACAACTTTGAAAAATACAACTTTACTTATTTGTATTTTGGGGACCACTACGTCTTATATCCCGCACCTTCGTGCCTCTTTCCTTATTGAACTAATTAACAACATCAATGAAAATCTAAGTCACAATTTCATTGGCAAGACCACGCCACTATTCTAAATCAAAAAGTCATTTGTGTTAGATTTGACCCAAGTGTAATTTATTTTATGGGTTAATTGCACAATGGCTGATCAACGAAATTTTGAAATATAATACAAAGTAGTACATGAGTAATAATATAATATATATAATATATACATATTATAATGATCCGGTCTGAGTCGGTCCAGTCCAAAAATTTGAGATTTCATTATTTTACAACTATGATTGGACCAAACGACTATGGAATCGATCCAGACCGTTCAATTCGATCTGATCCGATTTGATTTTTGAGAGTTCATAGTTTCTTTTACACACCTCTAAGAATTAGCTTTAATGATAAGTTTTCGACGATAAACTTTACGTTTATTTTACAAAATTATCAAGCATGTTGTGGGGTGCATAACGTCCTTACTTTTTATTCTTACTTAAATTAGTTTTTTCACTTTCTCAAAATTTCTTATTATTCATAAAATTATGGCATTTTTTTTTTTTTTCACCGACAACTTTGAAATAGCTAACTTTAATTATTGGTAGTTTGGGACCCACAACTTTGAAATAGCTAACTTTAATTATCGGTAGTTTGGGACCCACTACCTCTTATGCTATTATATCCCGCCCCGTCGTTCCTTATTGAACTAATTGGGAAGAAAAGTCACAATTTCACATTAGAGGAAAAGTCTTCGTTATTGAATGATATTTTCTTACTTTTAGAAAGGAAAAGTCTTGCAGGAACACTTTTACAAAAGTATATCAATCCAATTAATTAATGATGTCCCTTGGCATCTTCTTTGCATCTGCAATGAGCAGTGATAACATCACCTACTAGATGGACTTGGTAGTCGGTAGCTAGGTCACTCGTAAACTGGCATTGGATTAATACATAACTTGGAAATGACATGCCCAATATTGATTGGTGGGGGATATAGTTAGGTTCTCTACGGATGAGAGTTTTTTTCTAGCTTATCTTATTCTATAGGAACAATACTAGTACCACTTTCTTCCAGCTATTTTGCATTTTGAAAGCATATAGAATCTCTCTTTGATCTGTTCAGCAAGAATTGAGTGACAATGGCGGAGGGCGCACTTCTTCAAGTTGTTCTCGACAATTTGAACTCTTTGATCCAAGGGGAGATTGGATTATTGTGGGGTGTTGATAAGGAGATGCAAAAGCTTTCCAACACTCTCTCTACAATCAGAACGGTTCTTGAAGATGCTGAGCTCAGACAGCTGCAAGACAGAGCTATCAAGAACTGGTTACGGAAGCTCAAACAAGCAACTTATGATATAGATGACGTCTTGGACGAGTGTGCAACTGAAGCTGCCCGATTGAAGGAGTCTAAGCGCCAAACTCTTGATAAGGTACGCGGCTGTTTCTTATCTTGTTATTCTCCTCTAGACAATGTTTTGTTTCGTCGTAAGATTGGGAATAAAATGAAGGAGATTAATGAGAAGTTGAATGCAATTGCTGAGGAGCGGAGCAAATTTCATTTGCATGACGCGGTTGTGGCGAATCGAGTTGGAATTCCTGAATGGCGCGAAACCAGCTCTTTTTTAACTGAACCACATGTGTATGGAAGAGAAGATGATAAAGAAAGTATCCTTGAACAGCTGGTGAAGCATACAAGTGACTCTGAGAATGTTTCCATCCTTCCTATTGTTGGTATTGGAGGGCTCGGAAAGACCACGCTTGCGCAACTAGTATTGAATGATAAGAGGGTAATTGAGCATTTTGAGCCAAGAATTTGGGTTTGTGTTTCTGATGATTTTGATGTGAAGAGAATCATAGAATCAATTATAGGGACAACTTCTGGAGGCTCAAACCTAGATCATCTCCAAAGACAACTTCAAGAGAAGTTGAATGGAAAAAGATATTTCCTTGTTTTGGATGATGTGTGGAATGATAATCAAGAAAAGTGGGACAAGTTGAAATGCATATTAGCATGTGGATCAAAGGGTTCTTCGGTTATTATCACTACTCGTCTCGAAAATGTGGCATCAATTATGGCAACACTCCCTATATATCGTTTGTCGAGTATGTCAGAAGATGATTGTTGGTTATTGTTTAAGCAACGAGCGTTTAAACACGAGAGTGAAGAAAGTCCAAATCTTGTAACAATTGGGAAGGAGATTGTGAAGAAGTGTGGGGGTGTGCCTTTAGCAGCAAAGGCTCTAGGCAGCTTAATGAGGTTCAAAAATGAAGAAAGTGAGTGGCTTCATGTTAAAGAAAGTCAAATTTGGAATTTACCGCAAGATGAAAAGTACTCCGTACTTCCTGCATTAAGATTAAGTTACCATAATCTTCCATTGGAGTGTAGACAATGTTTTGCTTATTGCTCCATATTTGTAAAGGATTCCAGAATCATGAAGGATCGTATGATTCATTTATGGATGGCTAATGGTTTTATTTCATCTAATGGAATAATGGAGTTGGAAGATGTTGGTAACAAGATATGGAATGAATTGTATTGGAGATCTTTTTTTCAAGAGGTAGAAAGTGATGATTATGGCAATAGAAGTTTCAAGATGCATGATCTTGTTCACGATCTTGCCCAATCAATTATGGAAGATGAATGTTATGTGATGGAGGTTGAAAGGTCAAATAATAAACAAATCATGAGTGGGAGTGCACTTCATGTCACATCTGTTACTGACTCTAAGGTATTAGAAAATGTTGAATCCATGAGAACGCTATTTGTGAATGTGTTTCCACGTGATTTCATGAAATTTTATGCCTTACGAGTTTTGGATGCAAGGGGACTTGGTATTGATGAGGTGCCATCTTCAATTGGCAATTTAATTCATTTAAGGTACTTGAATCTTTCCAGTAATGGGTTTACAAAACTTCCGAAGTCATTATGTACCTTATTGAATTTGCAAACCTTAAACCTCAACAATTGTTGGGGGCTTCAGAGGTTACCGAAGCACACGAGACGCTTGACCAATCTCAGACATCTATTTATTGGAAGTTGTAATTCGCTAAAACAAATGGCTCCAAAAATTGGGCAGCTAACCTACCTCAAGACATTAAGTGTTTTCATTGTGGATGATAGGAGGAGAGGTTTTCAATTGGGTGAGTTGCGAGGATTAAAACTTGGAGGAGAATTACGCATCCAAAATCTGGAGAGGGTGGAGAATTGGATGGATGCTAGTGAAGCCAATTTAATTGGAAAACAAAACCTCTACAGCTTGGGATTTCATTGGGGACGACGTGGAGTTGAATCAGAAATATTGCGAGAAAATGCTGAAAGGGTACTTGAAGCTCTTGAACCTAACCCAAATCTTAAAGAGTTGGTGATACAACGTTACAGAGGTGCTTCTTTTCCGCTTTGGATGAGAGAACCAGTGCTTCAAAATTTAGTTACTGTTTCACTCCTTGATTGCGAAAATTGTCAAAATTTTCCATCATATGGCCGATTGCGTTTCTTAAAACATCTTAAAATAAGTGGAATGAAAGATGTGAAATACATAGACGATGATTCCCACGGTGGATCAACAATAAGGAAATTTCCTTCTCTGGAGAGGCTTCATATTTCTTGCTTGCCATGTTTGGAAAGGTTATCAAGAGAGGAAGAAAATGATGTGTTCCCTTGTCTTTCCCGATTGTATGTTCATGATTGCCCTAAATTGACATTTTCATGCCTTCCCTCGATCAAAGATTTAGAAGTATGGAAAGGTGGCGAGGTCTTATTAAGTTCGATCTCAGGTCTTAATTGTCTTACTTCTCTTCAAATTCTCTTTGGTGAACAATCCTTCTTTCCGGAAGGGATGTTGCGGAAACTCACTTCTCTTCAGTCACTGTCAATTCTAAATTGTGAAAAACTCGGAGAGTTGCCCAACGAACTGTCAAACCTCGGTGCTCTCAACTCACTAGTTATCCGTCATTGTGGTGAGCTTGAGTCATTGCCAGAACAAGGACTGCAAGGCCTCAACTCTCTCCGTTCTTTAGAACTTCGTTCCTGTAAAAAGTTGAAGTCCTTGTCTGAGGGACTGCAACACCTCACAGCCCTTGAGAGTTTGGCTCTTTATGAATGCCCGGAGCTCGTTTCTTTGCCGGAGAATGGTATCAGACACCTCCATTCCCTTAGAAATCTGCATATTGCTTTTAATCCCAACTTGGTGGTTTTGCCGGAGGCCTTACAGCATGTCCCTGCACTGCAGTCTCTAAGGATCTCGGGATGCGGAGAGCTAACATCGTTGCCTGACTGGTTGGGAAATCTTGCATCTCTTCAACGGTTGGAGATTTGGTTTTGCCCTAAGGTGGTGTCACTTCCAGATAGTACGCAAAGCCTAACCAATCTCACAACTTTGGTAATTCGAGGATGTGGTGAACAACTCAAAAGGAGATGCGAGAAGGGAAGAGGAGAGGATTGGTATAAGATACAACGCATACCAGATGTTCGTATATATGCGTGGGATAGGATTGCACATATTACAAACTGTTGCAGCCAATGGGAAAGATACAAGCACTAGGACGCAGCTGTTCTTGAATGATGAGCTGCTGGTGAAGTCACAAGAAAGCAGAAGGCAAGTGTTTCACTTCATAGTATCAAATGTGGCGGTTATTTCATGTTACAAAAGGTAACTTCTTAATATTGAATATATATTTATATATATGTTTGTGCGTCCTTTTTTCCTAATGTCTTTAGGAGTGTTGAATAACAATATTGAATATTCCATATGTCATGTGGGTAATAATACGTTAAAACAAAAAAGAAATAGTCTAAAAAACAGCACCATTTTCTTCTCGTGTACTGACAGTTGGAATTTATGTTTGTTGGCTGTAGATGACAGAGATCAGCAACTCATTTTAGATGTACGTAATTTCCAAAGTTTTCTCTTTGCTATTTTTACATAATTAAAGCTCTCCATTTGGTATTAAGCAATTATGGTTTCTTTGACAGTTTTTGATTGATAAAAAACTTTAGATGGAATTTCTTATTACGTTTTTTTTTGTTCCCTCCCAAAGTTCAGGTTGATATATAGATTTTCAAGGTCAAACGGGTTGATTCATTCACAGTTCTTAGTTTTTTCCGGTTGGTTCTTCAACCTTTGTCAAAACACAAAGAGAGATCATTATTGTATTCCCAAAAAATATGAGACACTACTTCTTGAGCTCACATGTGGTAACAAACAAAGTGTTATAAACTTTTTAAAAGCCCCGAAATGATTTTGAAAACAGAGAACTAATTTCAAATGTATTTGTTAATTGCAGATCCGGTACTCAATTTGACGGAAAGGGATGGAAACTTATTGTGGGAACACTCTCATTGTAGCAATGATCCAATTTCGCAAAAGCATCATCCAAACCTTTGTTCATGGAAATTCATAAATTATATGTAATTTATATATATAACATTCTGTTTAACAATCAAAGGTAAATGTTCCCTCCAATGATACAATACACAAGTATAAAGTATTTGATTTTACTTGTCTTTTACCTTTTATTTCTCTAAATTTCTCATAAAATTTTGAGAAATATTTAATTTTATTCAAATACAAAAGCTAAACACTCTAGATACAATGATACAATACACTAGATGAATGAATGGTTTCCAACAAGAAATAATATTCAACGTGCAGAATAAGTTTTGGTCTTCTCAACTGAAATTTAAAGATTCTCGAGCATCCAGATGACTGATTGATGAATGAACGCTTCAAGGGGTGTGCTTTACACAAACACGTGGTTGGTTGTAGATGGCAGATATCAGAAGCAGCAAGATAAAGAGTTCGGCATGGTCCTCCACCATCATTCCTGCATTTTAGATGTAAGTTTCAAATTTTCTCTTTGTTATTTTTATATAATTGAAGGTGCCCATTGTTAGGTTCCCAATTGGAAATGTGAATGGTGTCATTTGGTTTCTCTACATAGCCTGACTAATTCAATTATGTTTTCTCTGCAGCTGTTAATTAAGCAATTATGACCGGGGGTAGTGCCATGTCATATTACTGCATACTCGAATCAGTAAATGCTATGATTGTGATGCTCTGACGTGAACTCGTGCTGTCATTCCATGATTGAGTGCCAGATAAGGTCGTGTAAACAACTTGACAGAGAAGGATGCAAGTCATAGAGAGAATACCCTCATTGTAGCGCTACTCTTCGAATCAATTTCACAAAAGAAGCATCCAAGCATCCTAACCTGACAGGATTGCTGATGGCAGTTCATACAGTAAGTACTTACGTTTGTAAATACTAATGTGTAACATTCAGTTCCACAATCAGAGGCTATTATTTCCTCCAATGATACGACATGATAAATAAACACGCAGGACCTAAGAGTTCGGCATGGTCTTCCATCATTCCGCATTTTAGATATATATATTTTCCAAAGTTTTCTCTTTGATATTTTTACATGATTAAAGCTGTCCATTTTTAAGGTTCCATATTGAAAACGTGGATAGTGCCATTGTGAAAACTAAAAGCAAAAATTCTCTTGAAGCAAATATGATTAAATTTCGTAGTTTTTAGTCTCGTCCAGTGTTTGATCTTTATCAAACCACTAAAGGGAGATCATATTTGTACTCTAAAAAAAAAAAAAAATTTGAAATAAAGAAATAAGAAGAGGCTACTTATTGAGCTCACATATCGTAACAAACTGAGTGTTTTGAACATTTTTTAAAGCATGAAAGTGAATTTGAAAACAGAGAACTAATTATAAATGTATTTGTTAATTGCAGATCCTCACTAATTCAATTATGGTTTATTTACCGAAGGCTGTTGTACCCTAATGGTAAGTCTTCGCCTTCCAAAGTGGTCAAGGGTTTGAGTCCCCATAAGAGGGTGTAGTTGTAGTGGATAAGTGAATTTCTTGCCAAGATAAAAAAAAATATAATAATAATAATAATAATAAAATAAAAATTATGGTTTACTTGTAGCTGTTACTTAAGCTATTTGACCGATAAGGATGCAAACTTACTGTGAGAACACTCTCATTGTAGAAATGCTCCAATTTCACAAAAGAAGCATCCAAGCCTTTGCTCATAGAGGCAGTGGCAATTGAAAAACAGAAACCCCCCTGGCGTAAGTAGTTAGGTTGAATACTCTAAAACCACAACTAATTATATAGACATATATATGCATATGTATTTGTGTGTTACATTCGGCTTGACAATCGAAGGCAATTATTCCCTTCAACGATACAATACGCAAGTAGACTTGTCTTTAACCTTTCCTCTCTCCAATTTTCTGATAAAACTTGGAGATAATATTTAATTTTATTCAAGTACAAAAGCTAAACAAACACTTTAGATAGAATTCAACGATTTAAAACTTGCAGTTTCTGCGCGTGCAAGGCTGCTGTTGAATCCCACAATCACATATTTTTCAATTGCTTAGTTTCTAATGCTGTTTGGAAGGATATAATGAAGAAATGTGGATGGAATTTGCAAGGTTTTGCTTGGAATGCTTTAGTAACTAATTAGTTAAAAGAACTCAAAAGCTCTGTTTAGCAGCCTCTGTGTATTTCTGGAGAACTAGATGAGTTAATTAATGATTTCCAACAAGATACGATATTCTATGTCCAGAATACGTTGCGGTCTTGTCAGGTGGAATTTAAAGATTCTCTAGCAAATAGATGACTGGTTGATCAATGGGTGCTTCAAAGGGTGTGCTTTAGACAAAGATGTGGTTGGTTGTAGATGGCACAAATAGAAGCAACAAGATAAAGCGTTTGGCACGGCCCTCCATCATCATTTCTGCATTTTAGATGTATGTAATTTCCAAAATTTTCTCTTTATTATTTTTATATAATTAAAGGTGCCATTTGGTTTCTCAGCAGTTGTTTGTTAAGTAATAATGATTTCTCTGAAAGCTAGAAGAAAAGCACAAACAGCATTGCCTCACTAATTCAGTCATGGTTTCTCTGCAGTTGTTAGTTAAGCAATTATGACTATGTGAGTAGCGCCAATTCAGTAAATACTATGATGATGGAGCCATGTTCAGAGACTGAAACATCATTCCATGAAATCTGAAGAAATGATTCCAATTCATGCACAAAAGTAACTATTTTTCAACTGCCCCGTTCCATTTGCAATTGTGGCCTCTCAGTTCATTAAATATTCTGTGAGGCTGAGGAAGGTTAGCTTCTGAGCTGTTCCAATTATAGATACGAACATTAAGACCACTTGGGATCTACCTGATGCAATTTTCAATCCAATTCATTGAGGTTTCTTAAATGGGATTCTATCTCTGGTTTTTCTTCGACTTCAGGTTCTGGTTTGCTTTTATATGTATATTCTCGGTTTTTATTCATTGGCTCTTCAGTTCTTGTCTATGATTGGTTATTGTCTTATATTCTGATGCATAATTTTCATGGATAAGGATTTTGCTTAATTGGACATTTTCCATGGTGCTTATTGTTTTTATTATCTCGAGTTTTTGGCTTTGGTTCATCTTTCATCTTGGGGTATGCCCCTTGTAAACCTGTATATGGTTCTTTTAATCATGATAAAAAAATAAAATAATTAAGTTATCATATATATATAACATGAATTGTTCTTCAATGTTGAACAAAATTCATACAACATTTGAAGTCCAATTATATCTTTGATCAGGTTAGTAAGCCAAAGATTCTGTTGTTTGGATTCTTCATCCTTAGATAAATACTCTGCAAAATCTGCTGTGTAATCCAACAATCATGTATTTTTCAATTCCCCAATTTCTAATGCTGTTTGGAAGGACATAATGAAGAAATGTGGCTTGAGATTTCACACTTACCATGTTTGGAAATGTTGTCCAGGGAGGAAGAAAAATATGTATTCCCTCTCCTTTCCCAGTTGTTAGAAATTGCCCTAAATTGACGTTGTCATGCCTTCCATCGCTTAGAAGTACGGGGAGGTAATGATGTCTCACTAAGTTCGATCTCGAATTTAAGTTGTCTTACCTCTCTTCAGATTCAAGGGCATTATGATGAACAACAATTCTGCTTTCCAGAAGGGATGTTGCGAGACCTCACTTTTCTTCAATCACAGAAAATGTAAGAAGGAAGAGGGGGAGGATTGGTACAAGATAGCACAAATACCAAATGTTTTTATGTTAGGATAATTAGCACATAGTACACACAGTTGCAGCCAATGGAAAAGATTACAAGCACAGAACCTCTTCCTCAAAGATGAGTTGGTGAAGTAACAGCAATCCAACTAGAGGCAAGTGTCTCTCCTCACATCACATGTGGCCGCGATTTCATGTTACAGAATGTAACAACTTCTTCATATTGATTATCTGTGTTAAATTCCAAAACTATATAAATACACACACACACATATTTGTGTACTGATGGTGGGAATTTATGGTTGTTGGTTGTAGATGACAGATACAGCACCAAGATAAAGAGTTTGGGACAGTCCATCAACATACCTGCATTTTTAGATGTATGTAATTTCCAAAATTTTCTCTTAATCGTTATATAATTAAAGTTGCCCATTGTTTAGGTTCCAAATTGGAAATGTGGATGGTGCCATTTGATTACTCTGCGGTTGTCAGTCAAGCAATTATGGTTTCTCCACATTTTCTAGTATATATAGATTGAAGAAAAAAACAAACAGCATAGCCTCACTGATTCAATTATGGTTTCTTTGCAGTTGTTAGTGAAGGCATTATGATTCTATGAACATGTGGATAGTGCACAGTCATATTCGAATAAGAAAATTGCTACGATGATGGCGGCCTTTTTTGAGCTCACGTCCTCATTCAGTGATTGAGGTTTGATAATATCACGTACTCAATTCGACAGATTTGACAGATAAGGGTGCAAACTCATCATGAGAAAACCCTCGTTGTAGCACTGCTCTTCGAATTAATTTCATAAAAGAAGCATCCAAATTTTCTAACATGACTGGATTGCTCATGCCAGTTCAAGTAGTGCATATAAATAAACACACACACATATATATATATGTACTTGTATGTAACATTCAGTTCGACAATTAGAGGCAAATCTTCCCTCTAACTATATGCACACGCAGGATGAGCTAAGGTGTTCCTTTCATAGACATTAGGATTGTGAAAGAAAATGCTAGAGAAAGTAAGGCAGTGATTTTGCAAGTTTCTGATAGAATTTGGAGTTAAGAGTTTAATCGGACTTATGCTGAAAGTGCTTTGAGTCTCAACTGATCGAAAGTCGCCCGTGGGGACAAAAGATGGTATTTTTTTACTGTGATTAAAACTTAATGCATAGCTTGGAAATGACATGCCCAAGTCAACCTCTACATCTGCAGAAGTTGCTGGGCTTCCAACAATGTTGCTCTAAACTTATTCACATCGAGCTTTAAATTTTGCTTATCCAAATATATAGACCTAAATGCACCCCATCCCTGTTTGCTTATTGCCCGAGGGTTCTTAATAACTTCATGGTCAATTGGGTATTGTTGTATCAATGAGCTCTCTTCTTCACTCACCTTGTATTCCAAGTACTTTAAGTTCATATCTTTTGCAGGCTCTCCAAAGTAAGTTCTAGCAAGCCATTCCATTCCTCCCAAGGGTAGTACTTGTATCAAAACTGCATTTTCAGGAAGGAAAACCATGTTGGTCATGCCAGCCCCGTGTACTCCCATCATAACATCACAAGAGTTTACGAGTTGTGCAAACCGCGACAGGTTTGAGTCTGCCTCTGTGACAGTCACATCAAATCCCAATCTTTTACTCATTTTGACAATTTCACCTGTTTAAAGATACAAACATCAAAGTTATATCATCACTAATAGTTTAAGCTTTTAGAGCATCCGGTATGAAGAGTCATGTTTAGCTCTCCACATTTGTGAATATAGAGAGCCATGTTAGCCCAACCAGCCGGTGCTAACTGGGCTAGCTATTTATTACTATATTTTAATTTGTTTTAGAGAAAGTGGGGACATTAGAGCAACTCCCTCACTGCAAGAAAATTGTGGAACCCACCATGTGGCGAGCTCCACACGGTCTACCTTGCCTCTCCAAACAAGGCTTTGGCTTGCTACGAAACAATAATAAGTACCGGATGCTCTTAGAGTAAATTGTTGTTAACATATACAATATCATAGCATGCTTTTAGAGTAAATGGTCGTTAATATTACCTTCGTTCATAAAACACCGGGTTCTCTTCCTTGACACAATCAGAAGCCGAGGTCTCATTGTACTGTTGTTGTCATCTCTTACTAGTTTAATAGCCGTTTCTCTCTTTAAGGAGTAAGAACTTCTTAGAAAATGTGTGAACTGCTTCATGGAATATGGACTCTTTGAAGGATCAATGTCGAGTTCTTTGTGATGTTTAAGGCCGACAATCAATCTTGAGAAGCAATGCACTGCTCCATCATCTTTGTCCATGTCAATGATCTCATACCTCGACAACTTTTGTAATAAAGCTCCATGTTTGATCAACCACCAAGACTTTTTGTTGGCAACGAGAAACTGTACTTGTCCATCAAATTCTCGAGCAGTTAGATATAGCGGAATCAAGACATCGGAGAAGTCATGGAAAAGATTACCGAGATAACCCCCGGTGGAGAAGACAATACCGGTGACATTGTGAGTTCTGTTGCAACGTGGATCCGCTTGGGAAATGGAATGTGCTTCTTCCATCTTAATTTTAAATTTGGTAACACCCGCCATTGCGGTTTCGTCTCCTTTTCGAGCATAAGGACGTATTGTCCATGAATTGTTGCTGGTTTCTTTCAAAATGCTCATTTGAGTTGAGGCAAGAAAAATAGTGGACGAATTTATGGAAATTCGTATGTCTCCATTCAATTCACAAACATCAGACCTTTGCTGTGAAAGGTCACAAATGGGTTTGACTTCCTTGGATTTGATGTCTGAAACAAAATTTTAAAAGATGAAATGAGTTTTGGTTCATACATTCTCTCAAGTCACAAACAAGGTATTGGTGCCAAATGGGGTAGGCCTGCCAAACGGACGTGTTTTAACGAGTCAAAATTAGCAAGTTAAATATGGTTTGTGACCCGCACTTATCGTGTGTGTGGGTCATAGGTCAAAATGGTTTGGGTCCAAATAAATCGTTTTTAATGAAAATTCATCAACATTGAAATTTTACAGTACTCTTTTATAAAGGGGTTAAGTGCATAAAATCCCCTCACTATATTAAAAATGTGCAAGAAACACTTCCACTAAAAAATAAGTGTATATAAATTCCTATATTATCAACCTTTTGAGTAAATTACTCCCTAATCATCAATTTTGACCAATTTTTTTTATAAAAAAATCCTAAAATGCCCTTACGGATGTAAAAAAAAAAAAAAAAATCTCTCAGCTCTCTCTCTCCCTCTAAATCATCTCTCAGCTCTCTTTCTCTCTCTAGTCTCTACAACATAGAATATTATCGTGTCTATTTTGACTTAAGCAACAACCAATTAACTCTTGTCTAAAAATCACTACTTTAATAAATAAATAAAACTATGTATTATCACCGAAAAATTACTATTTTGATAAAATAAAAAATATATGTATTTAGGTCATTTCTAAAGCAAATTGCTTAATAAATATATAATTTCAAGATTATATATAATATAAAACTAACACCACAAAATATTTAATTGGTGAAGACATGGAGAGGACGAATAATGAACGTGTTTATTTTGTGAAACTTAAAATATAAAAGATTATTGATATTCCTGAGATGCACAACTTCAATTGTCCCTCTTGTGAGCCACAATATCATTTTGATCCTTCAGGCTCATAAGAGCATTTACATTCCAAAAATCAAGAAAAGTAATTATATGAACATTGTTATGTATATCCTTGCAACCACGCCTACTCCCATATGTTAGAGGTAGAAAGAGAAAGATTTTGCTTATAAAATCAGAATTGTTGTGGGTTGATTGCATCTCTTTTAAAGATTTTTCATCTTTTATATATATATATATATATATATATATATATATATATGACAAGATCAATAAACATATGAAAGTTGCTAAAAAAGAGAAAATAGAGAAACAATTATGGAAGTTGCTGGAAAAAGAGTCTCGCCAGAAAGTGAAAACAAAGAAAGAAATAGAGGGGAGAGAGACCCTCTAAAAAAAGAAAAAATAAATTAGAGGAGAGAGTGGATATTTTGATTTTTTATTATTATATTTTATATATTTTTATTTTATTATATGGGTATTCTAGACATTTCAATGACCAAATTGACTTAATGTCCTTATTTGCACAAATTGTAAAATGCAAGGGGATTTTATAAACAACAATGAGTGAATTGCACATTTTGTATATTATAAGGGGATTTTTTGCACTTAATTTTTTATAAAATTTAAAGCTAAAAATACAAGTTAGAATAGGCAAACCCATGATTCGTAGACTGACCCGTTTACAAGAACTCGGCCCGTTAGGATGACCCGACCTTTTAGCCCAAAATATTATTTTATTTTTTATTATTATTATTTTTTTTCACAGATGAAGCATCCTTACATTTTACAGTGAGACTAATGCACTGCAGGACACACACAACACCCCGTAAGTCACGTGCACACGTCATAACCGAACAAGTTCAGGACAAGCCATGTGAAATTATAAAATGATTTATGTGAGATTATAAAATATTTATGTAATGAAAAGTTGTAGATATTTCGTGAGCATTTTCTTGTTATATAACCTTCTCCATTTGGCTTTCTTTTCTTTTCTTTTCTTTTTCATTTTCTTCCCCATTTGGCAAGGAGAGAGATTCCTACTTTCAGAAGATTCTCGAATTCATGGGGGGGGGGGGGGGGGGGGGGGTGATATGTGGTGGAGGTATGGTACAAATATTATAAAGAGTGGTTTTGGTTTTTATTATTTTATATATATGATTGGTATTCACCTATACCCTTTTATAATTGGGTGACATTATTTGAAAGGTGGTCAAGTTAACCATTTACTACTAGTATTTCTTGGTTGGTAGGGTGACTCATAAGTCATGACTTTCTTTTTTTTATTATTTTTTAACGGGCCGAGCTGGGCTGGTGGACGGGCCAAGGAACTGGGCTAACGGGCTGATCACTGGGCCGGGCGGCAGGCTGAATCCTATACCGAGGCCCTGCACATTCTCTTATAGGGTTGGGTCAGGCTAGCTTGATACGGATTCAGGGCCAAACTAAAGACTAGCAGTCCCAGGCTGAATAGTGAATTTTTTTTTTTTTTGGGAATGACTGGGACACAATAAGGATGTGTTTTGGACACTTATACAAAAGTTCGTATCCATATTTCATATTTGTATCTATATTCATATCCGTATTTGTATTTGCATTCGTGTTTATTAAGAACTGACCCATATTTTAATCGTTTCACCGTATATTTTTTTTACCTGCATTTCAAAGTAGTTCATCCAAATCTATTAAGGGACAGGTGGATTTGGACGGGTTGACAGGTCATTAAAAAAATTTGCCCCCTAGAAATGGGTGCGGCTGGATCACTAAAAAGAGAAACTCTAAACTAATGACATTGACCTAGAAATGAGAGTGGCTGGATCGCTAAAGTTGAAACTCTATGCCTGTAGAACTACTGCTTCTGAACGCCATAACTATTCTTCATATAAAAAATATGAAATACAAATAAAGTGAAATATTACCTATTTGCCTTTGGTTGCTTGATTTCTCCATACTTGACAACATTTTGAAACGTCCAAAGCCCAATGACAACTGCAAATTCACTGCAACACCAGTATGATGATGAGTACAGATAAAACATCAAAACACAAACTCAAAACATAGCACCAAATGGAACTAAACTCTTCACACACACACACACACACACACACACAGAGTTTCGGACACTTACAAACAGGTAGAGGGCTCAAATAAGGCTTGAACACCGCGCAGAAGCTGAATGCAACGACGAGACAACCAACAAAAGCTCCACAACCAAGCCTCTTCTGGTCATGCCGACTAAAGCTTTTGGCAAAGATGGTCTGGTACGTCATTTTTGTTGTGCCACTGAGCTAAAACATACATACCATCCACGACTACGAGAACTTTAAACACTCAAAGACAGATTTTCATAATGTAAGCCTTCGTTTTAATGGAGAAGATTGAATGTTTGTTAGAGTGATTGCTTCCCACGATTTTTGTAATATAAAGTGTTGATTTTGCAAATCATAATAAAATGGAGGATTGAAAGGGACTTTGTGGTTGACTGTGTTTAACACAACCTGCTCCCTTTTGAATTTTGATCATTGTTTGCATGTATTTGAGAATGGATTTGCCAGCTACTAATGCTGGCCTTGAAAGGCATCAACCAACTAATGTTTTTAATATGTGTGTGTGTGTGTGTGTGTGTGTTAGGATGAAAATTCCTTGAAAGGTATCAACCAACTAATGGTGTTAAAAAATTTGAGGATATTTGTGTTTGTTGGTATAAAAATCCTCAATTGGGTTTCGGTTTCTTCTTAAGCTACCTACCATAAAAGTACATATAATGCATTTTATATATTTGTTTATTTATTGCAGATTTACCTAATCTGTTTATAATATTTTCGAAAATTGAAAAAGTGTTTAAATGTTTTTTGAATTTACATTTAATGCCTATAATGATTATAATCTCTCTCTTGATTTTTTTTTTTTTTGGTTGTATTTACATGTTCTTTATTTTTGTTTCTGTTTAAAATATTTCCGAAAATAGAAAAATCAATTTTTCTATATATATATATATAGAATGGTGAGTGGTTTTCTTTTAATTTGCCCTCAATAAAACCCATAACAAATACCGGACTTAAATATATATATATATATATATTAAGACAACCCACTCAAATACGTGCAATAGGGAACATCATTGTCAAGAAAGACTTTGATGATATGACCCTATAACCAAATCTTAAGAATTGTTTAGCGACACTTGTAAGAGGTTTCACAGTTAGTGTACATGAGCGGTGATGGCAAAATCTCCGTACCCGACGGGTCCTCACTTTACGCTATTCCGTTTATGACGAGTTTGGAGACCCATTTATGTAAATAGTGAGGGAATGAGGATTGTATTTGAAATCCAGACAAGGAACGGGCCGGGGGTGGGGGAAGGGTAACCCCGCCCCGCTCGTCCCATTTATAGTGTATTTTTACAAAATTGTCCTTATATGTTATAAAATATTATTAAATTATAAAATTATGTATATATAATACATTCACTTCTGAAAGTGAAACCCTAAATCTATTCTCTCGCAGTATAGAGAAAAAACATAGTCACAACTGATCAAATTTAAAATTGTTATTTTATTAAATTATTAGGTTAAAAAATATTATGGCTGTGTTGATTTTGTTGAAGGTGAATTGAAATTTAAAAAATGTTATGTGGGGCAGGGACCAGGGCTACTGTGTCGGGGGGGAGGGGGTGGGGGTGTGGGGATGGAAGGGGTAGAAAATTAAACAGGTATGGGGGCAAGGATGGGGGTAAAATATTTGACAGGGATGGGGAATGAGATCCCAGCCCCATTGCCATCCCTATACACGAATAAACAAAAATGAAAATGTTTAATTTTAAATTATATTGCCATTTTTCTTTCCTTATTTTCAACCATGTTTGAGTACATATACTTCTTAGTTTATTCAAGTGCAAGTAAATATGAAAAATAAAATGTTTATTTCCATTAGCAAAACCAAACAAAATATAAATGGACCAAACTGAAGATGGTTTTCACAATGGCGCAACTGAATCTGGCATCTATTTACAGATTGGCGCCATAACAGAAAATGGAACCATGTCCGAAGACAGAAACATTATTTCCAGGAGAAAAAAAAAACATTATTTCCATGAAATCTAAAGAATGAACCAATTCATTAGTAAAAGCAACTCATTTTCACATAGTAAAAACCAAAAAAAAAAAAAACATGTTCTAAATTCAATACGAAACATAATACAATCAATTGATGTTTCCATATACAACATGAATTGTACTTCAAGCTTGAACAAATTCATACAACATTTGAAGTCCATTGATATCTTTTGATGGGGTGAGTTCAATCGAAAACCCCTTTACAGTATCACAGACAGTTCTTTACAGTCAATGTAGCAGCTCCGCAGTATTCTGTACCTCATGATTTGTATCGGTATCTTACATAATGTCAATGGCAGTTGAAACAAAGTCTCGGTTGGGTAAGGGTAAAAAAAATGATTAGGTGGGATACAATTATACAACATTTTACATCAAAAACCAAGTGGTTGAACAAAGAGGAGAGAGCACCTCAACCGACGAGCTTCAAAAACCGAATTGCCCTTCCATAAGCAAGCCACCCACAAAAAATATACTTATACGTGCTGACGTGAATAGAGTAACTTTGTGGCGAAACAGGCCCTACCTATCATCAGGTGGCAGTGTTGGACTTTTGGAACACATGCTGATCTTGTGAAGCTCCTTCATTTTCGTCACCGGGTTGCATAAACCTGAGAATTTTCAACCAATCTCTTATTAGAGAGCACTCTACCAGTAAAATTATACATAATTTTGGACATTTTAGAGGTACAAAAACCGCAAGACTTGGTAAAACAAGCAAGGGTAGATGGTACACTGCTTGTATAACAGCTTGAATTGAGTATCCAATTTTTCTTATAATCAAAATGACCCATGAAATTTTGAGTTGAAGATGATGGCTAAGTCAAGTGAATACAGGCTACAACAAGGAATGAAAAAAATGGAAAATGGTATATATTCAGACTATCCTCTTTAAAAGAGCTCCAAAAACATACTCAATTTTAACATATGGGAGTTTATTAAGTTTTCAACTCATATATCACAACAGCACGGAAAATATTCAGACTATCCTCTTTAAAAGAGCTCCAAAAACATACTCCATTTTACCACATGGTAGTTTATTAAGTTTTCAACTCATATATCACAACAGCGCCGTGAATTAAATTTATGATATCGTGCAGGAAAAGGAAATGATATTCACACTTCCCTTTTACTCTCTCACACTCCACTTGCCTTTCTTAAAAGAAAATGGAATAATTGAGCTTCAAAAGCACTCTTGTACACCACCGATATCCCAAAAAAGTAATCTGGCTCTCCAGAGAGGAATATTTGTCATATCCTTTACTAAAATATCAAGTGAAGTGCAAGAATTCAAAAGTGGAGTGTGAAAAAAAAATAAACGAATAAATAAATTAGCGAAAGTTCAAGCAAACACACAAACCCACTATATATATTATGCCTCCACCGAGGCTCAAACACTGCACCCCCAGTGCCCATTGGTAAAAAATAAAAAGTTTATGACTTCTGAGATGAATAGTGATGTTGCATTTCTTAAATTTTTGCCTCAGGATTAATCAGTTCAATTTCGAGATGAGGGTAGGAAAGGGATATAACCCAGCAGTAGTGTCATAGTGTCACCTTGATTTTGATTATCCTGCTAATTTCGACGGAATTGTAAAAAGTGTATTTCATTTTCATTTTTCAAAAATTTTGGAACTTTTTGTGATCTCAAACTTGTTACAAAGGTGCAAATAATCTATTTTATTAACACAACTGATACCTTTTGCAACAGCATGTGCTGCATGTTCTACAATAATAATTTCTTAATGGCAAAGACATAATTGAAAACAAAGACATGGACCATGTGCACACAACTGTTAGTTGTGTCAATATTTTGCCCTTGCCACAGAATACCTTCCGAGAAGGAGTGACAAAATTGGACACAACTCGTCTTCAGGACTAGAATCCAAATATAATTAGTTGATTGACCTTAATCGAGTTTGTGTCATGATTATATTAGCCTAATTAACCCATTTAATTAATCGTGTCGTGTTCGGGTTTGAGGACTCAACCCATTTAGTTAATTGCGTCGGTCAATACACTTCAACAGCTGACATGTTTCAACTCGATTTAACCCCTTTTTTTTTTTTTGATAAGTAACTTGATTTAACCCATTTAACTAAATGTATCAAGTCAGCCATTCAATAAGTACTAATATATGTGTGTGTGTGTGTGTGTGTGGATATTTTTGTCTATTCATGTATTATTGTGAAATTCAATTTAGTTAATTGCGTAATTTATTAAGATGAAATGGAAGATTTAGTCATTTCTAAAATTTTCGATCAATATTTTAAATTTTTTTTCTTTGCTTTCTTTTTATTTTATAATTAAAAAATATATATTAAATAGGTTATTGAACGAGTTATGTCATATCACATGTTACATGACCCAGTTAATATTAAGCAAGTTACACGGGTAGTATTGTGTAATCTTATTCAATAAATGGGTTGTATCCGTGCAAGGGTTTAGGACACAAATAATAAATGGATCGTGTCCAGGTTGACACATATAATAGAATACTTTAACTCGACAAGACAGGAATAAGACTTGTTAACATGATTTGCTACCCCTAATTGACTCTGGCAAAAGCATAGCCGCATCAGATCTTTCATTGCAAAGGTATTCCAATAAATTCCAGTATTTTGTGAAGAATAATTTTGTTGCAAAATAAATCTCAATTCAAAAAATAAATGGATCTGGGTTTTAGATTTCTAAAAGAAAGCTACTCATATGATATAAAATTAGTCAATTTTATCTGTGAGAGAGAATGTAACATTCAGGCTACTTCACTAAAGATGTTTTACCTGAACATTTTGGAATATCCCAAACTGCAATCGACGTTGATGTGCATCGAGGATCACATATTGCTCTATTATCTTCATGATGGACATTCATAGCAAGCATCCATGATCCAATCGTCACATCCTCATTGCTAAACATTCTCAAACTGAAAGCCAGACAATACATCTATTTATTGGGAAAAGAAAACAGGGGAAAAAAAGTGCAGAAGAAGAATATCCAAGAAAGCAAGATAAGGACATCATCATCATAATAATAATAATAGGAGGAAAATAAATAATAATTAATAAATAAAAATAAAAAAATTAGAACAGAAGTGTGCCGAAGCCCCCTGGTGTGACAAAAACAGCCCTTACATTTTAACATCACGCAAATAAGGGCACTCCTTCACCTTACCAATTAATGGAGCAATAAAATGACAAAAATTCCCTTACTGTTAAAAAAAAAAAGCCACACGCTCACTCACAAAGAAAATATAAAAATTATATGGGAGTGATAATGTATATATGTACATACATGTTTATGAATGTATTATTAAAGTAGAGAACATAGTGATATATGATATATATATATATATATATATATAAATACGTATATAAATATAAAGGTATCTTTGTATAGCAATAAATCAGTACGATTAACATATAAAAAATCCCCACAAGATCACCTGTATATGTGTATGGTACATGATTGCAAGTGGGTATTGTAAACCATGGCCGGAACATGGTTTTGGGGTCAAGAATCCTTCCTTTTTTTGTTACAGATTGTCATGGAAATAATACTTATGGATGTATTCAATGAGCTAGAATTGATCAACCATAATTTTGGAGTGAGTTTGGGTCGAATAGGGTAGGATTTTGAGGTTGAAAGGGGCTGGAAATTGTGGGCAAGGGTTTCTAGGTGTGTGGTGCATGAGCAGTGTGGACAAGAAGCCCCATTTCAAGCAATGAAATCCCACACGAGCGTGGTGGCGAGTGTGGACCATGGCTTGTGGGGGCATGATTCTGATGACAAGTTGGCCTGGCTGTGGTCCACTGGCCCAACCCAGACAGTCGGCCTTACTTTCAAACCAAAATTTTATATATATATAGTATTTGAAATTAAATTAATTTAAAAAAAAAAAAAAAAAAAAAAACCCGAATAAAAGGAAAAGGGGCAATTTCGGGTTTCCATAATAATTAATGGCTATTTTATAACATTGACAAGAAGGAGAGGGTCAATTTGAACAATTGCATGAAATCACTAGGGGTTATATGCACAAGACTAAACAGAATGAGGTGTTTCGTGCACAATTTTTATATTGCAGGTTTTTTTGTTGCACTTTACCCTTAATAGTAATATTAATAATAGTAATAACTTAAAACTCTTACTGAAAGAGAGTAGTTACACGAGGATTTATTTGCTTATAATTTCCATAAGAACTATGGGGTGATCAAATGATCTTTCTGTTACAATTGCTTGCATATGAGCTTGGACAACTCAGAAAACGAACGAAAAACCGACGAACCGTACCTATTGTCGAGGTTTATTTGCTGCTGGAACAGAATGCCCGAGAAAAAATAGTGACTCGCACTGGTCGTATCATATATTTATTTAGATAGTAGTCACGGAATTCAAGGATTTTTGACATCCTAACTTCCGTGACTGACTTTAACTCCTCAATAAATAAAATGAAATCTGAAGCAAAAGTGAAAACTTCGAAGTACAACCAGAAAAACTTTAATACTTACATATCTGTATTAAAAGGCCAAACTTGTTCAATGAATTAGGAATTTAGGATATTATGCCCTTATGGGGAATTTTTTATATGATCATGATTGTAAGTTTGTAACCATTTATATCATTTCCAATGAAAAAGAACATGCAGGCTTTGTTTAAATTTTGGATTAAATTGACCTCAATCACCATCTTCACTTCCATTGGTCATAATTTAACATTTAATTTTAATGATCCTAAAATCCAAATCAGGATGTCAAAAGGATATCAAAAAACAAATGGTATTTACTGGTCCTTTTCTGGCCTCTCTGGCTTAAGTGTTGGTTGTATTATCAACTCTAGGTCAAGCATTCAAGGACTTGCGGAGAGAAGAGAGAAAACAAATGGTATTTGACAAGTAAGATTTGAAAAATCACCATTGCAGTATAGTGTGATATGCAACATAAATTATTAAGAAATTACACTATATAACTGAATATCCAAGAGGGCAGTATAGTTCAGCATACAGGACAACATATAATAGCATCTTTGTTCAGAAAGAAATACCACAAACATAAAGAGAACATTGGAACAAACTTTATGTGATAAGAGACCTGTTATTTCTAGCAACTGCCAGTGATGCCACCACCTCTGCAGAAAGAACATAGATAGGACCATAAGCATGCAAGAAGTATTCACTTCCAATCAGATGCCCTGATTTCTCAAACCTGAAATTTTCACAATTAAACAACCTCTGATAAATTCAGTGCATAAGAAAGAATTATAATTTGTCACAGGTTTGCAGCCAAAAAATGTAATCATAACTACCATTTCAACTTAGGGTCAGTGATCACTGGTCCTTTCTTCAAGCACCCAATATAAGTCAGTGAATGGGTTCTCTCCTTAGCCAGAAGAGTTGCAAGGCGATCTGACAGATTGAAATATAGAATTATGTTGCACCGTGAAAACTGAAAAGAGTAAAAATAATGCAATTGTCAAAAGTTCTAAATACCTGGCCGCAAATAAATGTCATCATCAGCTTTAATATAGTAATCTGCATCAAAAAGCTGAAATGCTGCTTTGAAATATGCCAACCTACAAGTGTTTAAAGCATTACCACTTAAGATATCAGTCACATACAAAATTTAGCTAATCCAGAAGCTCAATTCTTACGTTTTGTATGGAAGCTTTAGATATTCTTCCTCAACATCTATAAGCATAAAATCTTTGTACTTCTCAACCTCTTTTTCAAGTGCTGCCATCTTCTTTGCGTCTTTGGATCGTCCAATTACAAACCTAAAAGCTAAACCAGTAGCTTGCTCCAACCTATAGATGATAACATTGAGTGAACATGCAATGACATTATATGCAATAACTTTTGCAGATACAGTGGAAATGTCTACCAATTAACCCCGTAAAAGCATAAGGTGCTTCGTCAACATTTCCATGATTTACCATAGAAGAACTATTTATGTCAGGAGTAATAATAATCCAAAATTTCAAGAAAAATATTGATTCCAAAGAGATTGTGTGACCTCACCATACCGATGACGGGTCACACCTCACAATAAGTTAAATATTTAACTCGATGACAGCTACTTGATGATGTCACAATAAGTTAAATATGTTCACCAATATGAGATCGAAAAAAATAAGTAATAAAAGAGTAGGGGGAAAAAAAAAAAAAAAAAAAAGGTCCTACTAGAGGGTTAAAATTCTGTAGAATTGCTTGGATATTTTATATGGAAGGCTACTAGAAGCAAGGCCCTCATAAGTCACAGGACTAACAATAATTTGCAACAACATGCCAAGTTAATAAGACCAATGAAGTACGGAGCTTGGTAAACCAGAAATTCAATAGCAATATAAGACATTCTTATGCAACCACCATATGTTGAAACCCTAGCTTCCAGATTTAAACCCACTAATGGAACCAAACACCCGACTGATCTCACACAGGCACACGCAGAGAGCAAACCAAAATCAATGCTCAAACCCAGCACAAAGGTAATAATAACCTAAAGCTATATGACTGATGATCTTAGGCATATAAATAACTACTTTAGGTGTGAACTAAAATTTTTCTCTAATTTGAGCATTTGAATATTACAAAACTTAATAAATTATAGAATTAAGAATTACTAGAACAGAGCAACTTTTGTTAGGTAGCTGAAAAAATGTAGGGCCTCAAATCTTTCACTAATTAAATCTTGAAAAACAAAGATCTCCACTTGGCCCATATTAACAACAAGGTTAGTTGAATGTATCATACTTGAGAAACTAAAAATGAGTATTTACTAAATTTCATTTTTAGCAATCAAAAAGTCCCATTCCCTTTATTTTTTCCACAATCTACTCTAAGATCAAACTCCAATAAATCCAATTCCATTGAAATACACAATTCAACTAAACATATAGATACACAAAATCAATTCATCACTTCAATTACTGAATTATACATAATGTACCTAAGAAGGCCCTCAGGATCGGAAGGAAACCAAGTACTCCTCAGCGCAGCCCGACGTTCAACAGACGAGAACCCGGTCTGTATTCCGACGAACCCCAGGAGCTTCGGGCGATCGGGAAGGCCGCCGGCGTCTCCGATCCGTCGAGCATTCGGCAAAGAATAGAATGCCCGGAAGGTGTCTTCGATGCGGCCGCAGCGAAAGACGGGAAGGGGCTTGGGGCGGAGGACGGCGAAGAGGAAGAAAACGATTCCGGCGACGCCGACGAAGAGACAGACGGCGGAAATGACGAAAAAGGGCAGGGGAGTGCGGGGTAGTGGAGGCAGGGAGAGGGGTTTTTTGGTCTTCTCCGACTTGGAGTAGTGGTGGCCCTGGTTGGTGTGGGGAGGAGGAGATGGGGAGTGACGATCGGAGGAGGAGAGAGGCAGGAGAGAGAAAGTGCGTGGCATTTTTTGGGTTTATGGGTGGAGGAGAGTGTGGTGTCTGAGGCTGCTTTGTGGTCTTTTCATGGTGGGACTACAGCTCAGATCTTATTGAAGGTGTGAGACTGTGACGCTCTACTTGAAGACAACAGGTGTTTGATTAAAGTCCTCAGACGACCATTTTACCTATAATCTTCTTTCTTTAGGTTCAACACACACCCAACCACCCCCCCCCCCCCCCCCCCCCCAACTCTCTGTCTCTCTCTCTATCTCTCTCTCAAAATGTACCTATATATATATATATATATATATATAATTATAATGAAATAAAAATCCAATTAACGTTAATATAATAACTATAGAATATATATATAGATATATAGATTGCTGTGATGCTTCAATTATTTTCGATGACTCTTAAAAAATAATTTAATTTTAATAATCTAAAATTTTATTCACATTTATAAAACAATTACTCCGTATATGATATAGTCATACTATTAAAAACTAAAAAAAAAAAAAAAAATTTAGATAGAAAGACAATAATTTTATTGCAATTAATGAGAATTTACATCAGATATTGCTGCTACCAAAAATGCTATTGACATTAAATAGTATAATTAAAGATATATATATATATATATATATAGATAACACGGAGTATTAATAAGAACAATCCTTCTATTCTAGCAGACAATCGTCATCATAAATGCGTTCGGCGGTGTAAAGTGTCCGAAAAACATAAAATCTAATTCTAACCTCAATCCATAAACATGCTCATTTATGCATAGATTTTTATTTTTGTGAGCACATAGATTTTTTTCTTATTGATATAAATATTGCATGATGGTTAAACAGTAACATACTAGTATTATTTTTCTAACATCTTTTCCATCATGGACTAAGTGACTAACTGAATTATCTCTTCAATTTTCCCTATTATATGTCATTTCTCCTACCAAATTTAAGCTATTAAAGTTATTTTTAATAATATCATCTCATGTTACTTTTGATCGTTCTATATATATATATATATATATATATATATATATTTTTTTTTTGACCTTTTATAACAATCATGCTTCTGCTTAATCGACGCGTCTCTGGTTATTCAACATATACGTCTAAACCATCTAAGTCTACTCTTTCTAATTTTTTCAATAATGGGTGTTACAACCCATTTCTCTCTCTCTCTCTCTCTCTCTCATTAGTGAGCTTATCTCCCGTAGTCACCATTTTCATTTTCGCATGAAGGCATTGTTACAATATAATAGGTCTAATAATGGTCCTATAAATAAATAAATAAATAAAAATAATTAGCTTATGTGTTATTCTTTTATCACATAATATCCGACTAACTTGTTTCCATTTTGTTTAATCCGTTCTAATTCTACTAATATATCACTATCACTACATCATTGTGTATTATCAATCTTATATTTGGTAAGTTATCATTTTAAAGTATTATCATTATATTATCAATGTTCGATTCTTTGTTAAATTTATACGATGAAAATTTTAAGGATCCACCTTATATAATTTATTGTGTGGACCATGTGAATTGAAAGAAATCTATTGGATTTATAGTATGCCAACTTTCATATGATTCAAAATTGTTCACCCATTTAATCTATGTATCCTTTGTATCCGAATTTCAATATTAAAATTGAATGTGGTTAGAACCAATTAACTAGTGCACCATAACATAAATATTGCTCTCAAGTCTTTTACACTTGAAACAAGCAACGGTCTCCAAAATAATAATAATAATAATAAAAGATAAAAAAAAATTAAAAAATCAAATAAAGAATGAAGAAGATATATGGATTTTACTTTATAGTCCACAAATGACATGTAATATAAAAAGTAATAAACTCAAGATAAATATCTCATATTACTCAAAAATAAATTAATTTTCCCTTATTTCCAAGGACCGTTTGAAAGACAAATAAAAAGATTAGAAGAAAAATTATTAAACGGTCGGGATTACATGGTTCCTGATTCCTGTCACGATTAGATATACAAACAAATGTTTTGTGATTATAGTCAATGACCTATCACAAAATAAATAGGTAGCTGATATTGGCGCTTCACCAAAATCCCATATACTACATAGTGTTTGGTCTTTACAATTTTACCTCTCATAATTGCCTTTTATTATGTACATAATCTCTCTCTCAGGCTCTCATATGCTACAACTCATAGAGAGGAAAAACGAAAATTTAAATAGATATAGAAGATGGAAACACAGAGAAATAAACCCTAAAGAGAAAATTCACAGAGAGTGTATGTTATAGAGAGTATGCTATGAGAGACTCTCGATCGAGTCCAATCGTTGGTTGTGAAGACGAGAACTCGGTGGAGTAAAGTAATTCTCACAAGTCAGACTCAGATTGCAATCAAACCATTTATGCTTGTGATTTTTCATTAAAATTATTGTGTCATTCAATGACTTTTTTTTATGATAGATAAACTGGTAAATAACTAAATACGACATTAAAATTATTTTTTGTGGTTCAAGGACTTTTTATTATTATTTTAAGTTAAAAGTGAAAAAAAATCCTTGAAGTATAGTTGAATTTACAAATAACCCTACTAAATTATATTTTGAGTATAATACTCCTAAACTATCACATTTTGTTGCAAAATGTCCCGATGCCTAGATTATATTTCATTAAATGACCATGCTGCCATATCTTATTAAATTACAATTAATCTATTTTTTCTTATTTGAAATAAATTATAAAAAATTCTTACCAATTTAAAGACATATTCTCCATTAAATTTTCATAAATTTGCCTTTAATTTTTTTAATTAATTATCAAAATAAAAAACTTAAGTAGAACATTTTAAAATAATTTAATCAATTTCTTAATTTTTCATGAATATATTACATGAAAAAAAGGTATTTTTTATTTAAGTAGTTTATTAATTTTTCATCAATATATTGTATGAAAAAAGAAGATATTTTTTTACAGTAAAATGTTTAAACTTGGTATAATAAGTTTTATTATAAATAAATAAATTTTAATAATAAATTAATCATTTAAAAAAATGGTAATTTATTTTTATTATAAATTGATATTATTAATAAAATTAAGGTAAATAGTATAATTAATATTTAGATAAGAGAAAATATAATAAAAATATTTTAATAAGAAATGACAAATTTAATAAAAAATGGTAAAATAATTGTCATGAATTTGTATTTAATTACAATAAATTAATAGTTCAGAAAATTATTTACAAAAGAGGAATTTTTTACACTTTTATCTATAATTTTATTTTAGAAAAGTAAAAAAGGGTGGAGCGTAAAATGTGTTTGTGGAGCTCCCAATAAATATATACAATAAATAAACCTCATTGACTATTACTGTAGAACACTTTTAATTTATTTCACGTGTGAAAGAAACGAATAGCACGTCACTGCAAGTCTGCAACTGTATATGTATATGTATATGTATATGTGTGTGTACATATATATATATATATTGAGAGCTCAAATAACGACGCCGTTTTCCCTCTGTAAATCCCATCACAACGCACACAGGCCACTTCCACTTGGAGCAACACCAACCTCACATTACCACACACCCAACTTTTTCTCATTTGTCCGTTTCTTTACATGCTCTCATATATTTTCACACTCCTTTGTCGCATTTCAGTTTTTTTTTTTATTTTATTTTTTTTTCCAAAAAATAAGTGTCATGAGAAACCTCTTTTATGAATTTATGATCTCAAATAAGCACATGGACCACGTGGTTCATTACAAATGCAACATCTCCGTAGACTTGGGTATTTGACCTCATTTCGCCAATTAATTTAGGTTCTTTGCAAGGGTAGGGTTGGCTCAATAATAGTGAGTTTTGAACTCGGGTCAAAGGATCGAAACCATACATATCTTATTACTAGACTATCATCACATACTCGATTTAACATATAAAGTCGCTGACATGATTAAAATTTTTATTAATTTTTTAATATGATTATTTATGTGTTATGCTTTATTTATTTGGAGTATTAGATAATATAGACGGTGCCTTCTTTTTTTTTCAAGACAAAAAAAAAAATTAAAATAAAAATAAAAATAAAAAAAACATAGCCTTTCTAACATAGCCTTTCTATTAATTTTTTAATATGATCTTCTAAGTTAAAACTCTTCTAAGTTATCCTAACTTGAAAAAAAAAAAACATAGCGGCTTGAATTTTCTAAGTTAAAACTCTTCTAAGTTATTGTTCTAAGTTGAATTTTCTACAAAATGACATGTGTAATTTAAGATATATCTATGACTAATGTTAAATCACTTCAACTAATTTAATAAAAGTTAAGAAACTGGGCACTGCACTGTTTGAAGATAGAAAAGGTTTAAAATACCTTAACCATTTATACTTCAGTTTAAATCTGAATCTGTATAAAAATACATTTAGTTATTACCAACTAAATATTTAGTATTTATAAATAATAAAGAAAGTCTCTTTTCCATTGATATCATTGCAAACTATGCTCAAAACTTAAATTTTACAAAATTCATCTAATTAGACACTGTATACTGTTAAATTGAAAATCTACTATTCAAGTTTCTTTAATCAAATCACCTTCTTTATCCAAGCCAATACTATTATTTCATAAAGGAGACAGAGAGAGAGCAAGATTTTTTTTTTTTTTTTTTTTTTGAGAAAAGAGGAGAGATCTTATAAGAGAGAGAGATGTTTATGTCTTCCTAAAGTTTTTTTTTTTTTTTTTCTTCTTAAAATGGTATAATTTTTTTAAATTTTATTAAACGTAGAAAATTCAACTTAGGATATCTTAAAGGAATTTTAATTTAAAGGATGAAAGTCCTTCTAACATATTGATGAATAGACTCCAAAATTAAATCGAATCATTAAATTGAGGAGAAACCTTGTTCACTTGATGAGGTGTCTCGTTTCACAATTTAATAACCTATGATAGTTTTTTAAAAATATTTGTATTCACCAAATACTAATAATAGAAGTGTCGAACTAAAAGTTGTGAGTCTAATGCGTGGAGCCTGTTTGGGATTTGCTTTTTGAAGCAAAATAACGTTTCGTGATGTTTGTTGTAATTTAAATAATATAAAAAAAAAATGTGACAAAGCGTTTAAAATCAAAAGCACCAAACTGATTGCTTTTGCATTGTAGTAAAAAATAGTATTAAAAAAAAAACTTTAAATTACCATTTTAACAAATTATTTTATTTTTAAAATTTATAAAACTTTTTTACTTTAAAAAATCTTGCTGACAAACAATATTAAAAATGCTCAAAAATTGAAACCGCGCTTCTGTTTCAAATCAAAACAAAATTATGAAGGAAAAGCAGTTCCAAACATACTGTAATAAGCGAGTTCCACAAGAAAAGTAGAAAAAAATTGCTGATTATTATATCAATTTATTTGCTGATTATTGTATCAATTTATTTGCAATACTAAACTCACCTGTACGTACGATACAATGGAAATAATTAATGCTTTGAAAGAAATTGCAAAAACAATCAATCCAACTTACAAAGAAAATACAATAATAATAGTAGTGATCCCATTAAAATATTAACACAAAAATAATATTAATACTAGTGTGTGTGTGTATATATATATATATATTACTCTCGAAATATTAATTTAAATTTATTTTGTAACCTAAAATAAATTTAACTTTCCATCACATATAATATCCATGTCTCCCTACTTTTCTTCCCATCAAAATAACAGCTAGTCATAAGCTCTCCCCCATCTCTCTCTCCTCTGTTTCTCACTCTAGAACACCATGTTAATCTGGGACTCCATGACCAGCTGGTTCACTCCTACTATCCTCTTCGTCCTCCTCAACCTCGTGATTGTCACCATTGCCTTCACCACAAGCTTAGCTAACCGCCAAAAACGAAACCAGACCCAAAACGACCCACATCAACCACAACCCATCGCTAGATCAACATCTCTGCTTCAACGCTTCAAGTCCATCAATCTCTACAGTTACCGATCTCAAGAACCCTCCTCCTTCACCACCCAACTCAACAATCTAGCCCTAGATTCAGACACCCATTACCCTCCTCAACACACCCATCAACCACAAACCCTAGAAGCACAGACCCAAGAACCAGAAACCCAGAAAACAGAGACCCAATTCGTTTCAGAACAAATCTCGGATGAAGATGAAGAAGAAGAAGAAGAAGATGATAATGAAAATCAACATACCATGGATGAGATATACAGTAAGCTCACCAGCCATCACACTAGAACCCGGTCAGAGACCAAGCCGGCTTCAGGGAAAGTTCCGGTGAAGCTGTCGGAGAAGATGAGGAAGTCGGCGAGTGCGAAGTCGGTTTTTGGGCATTTCAAGGAAGAGGACATTGTGGAGACTCGTCGGCCGGCGACTGTGAGAGAGAGAAAGGCGGAGCCGGACGAAGAGGTGGATGCGAAAGCCGACGATTTCATCAACAGGTTTAAGCAGCAGTTGAAGTTGCAGAGGCTTGACTCCCTTTTGAGGTACAGGAGATGATCAAAGAGGGAGTGAAAAGTAAAGGTATTCTGATTTCCTTGGGTTCTTTTATAATATTTTATTAGTTATGGGTACTTTTTTTAAAAAGTGGAGTTATATGTTTCCACTGGACTGTAGAATTGTAGATCTATATAGCTGCTCATGGTGGTGTTGAACTTTGTGCCCTTGAGTTGCCTGTTCCATAGCATGGGATGGGCAGTTTGGTCATTTGATTCTGAGGGTGTTGTGGGTAGTGAAGAAGTTTTATGTGTATCTTAAAGGGCTCTTTCAATTTTTGCTAATTTTGGGTGGGGATTGGCCAGTCTGAATTGGTGATCCACTGCTCATGTTGAACTTTTTTTTATCTTTAAATATGTCCTACTTGTTTATCTTTTTAAACTGTGTACCCCATCCTTTTTACTCTTTTTGATAATTATGTCATTGTCTGGAATATTCCCACATATGAGTGTACTGGGTTAATCTGAATCGTGCGTGGAGAACACGCCCCGGGGTATACACATCACGAACGATTCAAATTAGTCCTTGTATGGTGCACCGGACATACCGGACACACTGAATATTTATTTCTTACCGGGGTCATAAATTCTAACCGGGTGGCCCAGTGGACAAAGGGTCTATAAATTTAGATGAAACGTTTTGAGTTGATTCTTACATGGTGTAAAATATTCGAGTTTAAATGATATGTATAATCTGTAGGTGATTGTATATATATGAAGTAGAAGTGACAAAGTTTGACACGACTTATCAACACGATACAAATAGAACACAAAATAAGGAGTTTGGGTTGACATTAATTGAATTTGGATCGTAAACGGGTCGATATGATTAATCCGATTAATTAACCGTGTTGTGTTAGGATTATGAGGTTAAGCTCGTATAACTCGTTTATATTTATTTAGCTATGGATAATTAGCTCATTTCAACGTAAAGCCTAGCAAAAATTTACATTAGCTCATTAGCCGTTGCTTATTTTCAGTCTAATTTGTGCTACTACACCTTGTGATTTTCTAATCCCAGTGTTTCAATATTTGAGTTGTAAAAATTACCTAAACTTTGTCTTTTAATTCACTATCTTGTGGACTAGATAGAGACTATTTAATAATTTGGTTGGATTAAGACTTATAATTTTTTTTTATTACTTAATGTTTGATAAAAAATTATAAATAATCTAAATAATATAATTATTGATTTTGATAAATATGTCAGTTAACTTGGGTAAATAGATTCGTATTAAGAGTTCTTAATATAATTATTAAATAGATCATGTTCGAATTGACCTATTTAATAAAATATCTTTAAATTAACACCGCACAATTATAATTCGAGAACACCCATGATCACCTAATTATGAAATTTGAAACCCAACCATTCGTGAGTGAGCGACATTTAGTCAAATCATAGTGGAATCACATTATAATTGTGAGAAATCACATTTAGTGGATCAATTCAGACTTTTCCGTTGAGAAAATCATCTCAAAAGAATGTAGTAACAAAAAAATCTTAATACCGATATGAATTTAATTGATGCGAGACATGTAAAATGAACATGGTACATTTGGTAATTTTTCATGACTGTGACCCAAGTGATGCTTTGGTGCGTTTTGCACGTGGAGGCATGGGTTTGGTTACTTTGGTAATCGGGGATAAGTACCAATTGAAACTGTGCATGGGTTGTGTGAACTTCTTATGTATAGTAAATTGCACACTGGGACCCTAAAGGTCAATTAAGTTATCAATAGAGAATGGCTTATAGATTTATAGATCATACATATACGTATACATGGTGAGAGGTTTTTTATTTTCTTATTTTATTTTAGTTTTATGATTTATACCTTGTTGGTGGGACCAGGCTTTAAATGGTGATCTCACTTCTTTAGACTTTTTGTGATCATGCTCAAAAGTTCACAATCAAGCAATGTGTGTGACCATATGATCCAAAATATAGGCCCTTCTATGGGTCACACAACTGATTAGGTCATATATATAAGCCACAAATGGGGATGGAACGAATCTCTATAGTCGTAAAACAAATGAAAACCAACTTTACCATCATGTCCTTTCGGTTGTTGAATGTAAAATTTCTTATCTGTTTTATTTTGGAGTAGTGATAAGAAACCCAAAATATAAAACACCAAAAGTTTTTTAATCTGATATGGCTTATCGCATAATATATTTTAAAAAATAGAAAGAGTTTTCGTAGTATAAATAAAAGGGAAAGTAATAAAATAAAAAAAGAAACAAAAAATTACTTGCTAGCTGCCTCTTTCCTCACAAACTGGGAAATTAAAAGGTCTAAACAATTAGCGTGGGAAAAAGAGCTCTGTTACAGATTGCTCCAAGAAAAATAATCCAAATGGATGGAATTCATAGAACTATACAGTTTGAAAGAAATATATAATCACGGAAACAATCAACAATAAGTCAAAACCTCCATAACTAATATATACGGTCTTAACAATTAACAATAGATCAAGAAGCAACTCTTTTTGAAGTGTTGGGTTTTGTATTTAAAACTTAGGTAATGATTCACTAATTTATAATCTGTTATATATTTCAATTTAGGATTTCGGTAATGGAGAAGAGAGGGAAATAAATGGTATACAGTTTACAAGATTAAAGAGCATAACTAGAGATTTGCATATAAAATTAGGGCTTCGATCCGTAATATAGGTCCCTAGGGTTTTGAAATTAGGGCTTCGATCCGTAGTATAGGTCCTTAGGGTTTTTGAACAATGAGTGTTGTTGACATCGTACATCTTCTTCTTCTCCCCCACTGAGCATTTTAGTTTTTGGGTTTGTGAGGGAAGATGATGAAGGCTATTTTTCTTTCTTTTTTTATTTTTATTTTTTTCCTTTTTGTTATATAGATTAAGAGAAACTTTTTTTTTTTTGCCCTTTTAATTATTTGACCACACATCAGATTCCAAAACTTTTCGCGTTTTATATTTTGCATTGCTTATCATTTTCCTTTATTTTATCATTTAGTTATATACAATGGAATTGGAACCCCATACATAACAACCTTACTCTTTTTTTTGGAAAAAAAAAAAAAAAACTAAGAGATGACACATCTTAATAAAATTATGTGAGTAAAAGATTGCGTTATGATGACATCATCATATTTAATGATATAATAAATTAGTTGGATGTATTATTTTTTCTTTGAAGAGTAAATTGCATTGACATCTACTGAGATTTCCATCATCATTGAGATTTCCATCATCATTAAGCCTCTATATATTAATTTATATATTTTTATTTATTATTTTTTTTTAGTACCTAGCCACCACACTCCCTCTCTCTTCCTGATGTCTCTCTTTCCCCTCTTTCTTAGTATGTTATAAGTGTGGGTTAGCCATGGCTGTTTAAAATTTTATTTTATTTTTCTTTTTATTGTGGTGTTTAGGTGTGGTGGTGATGTCTAATGGTAGTGTACAGTTATCTGGTTTTTTCAAAAAAAATAAAATAAATAATAATAATAATATTTTTTATTTTTTATTTTTATGTTGTGGTGGTGGTTACGGTGATATAAGTATTATTATATATAAATTATATCTACATGTATAAAAGATATGCAAATGTTAGTTTGGTCTATTAAATTTAGTTAGGAGATTAAATTTGTAATTTATGAGTAAAATAGAGTTGTTGACAAGTAAAAGAGTTAAAGATAATTTTATATGAGTCTCAATATACATTTTTGAAATCTCAATAAGCGTCCACGTAAACAAATTTTTTTTTTTTTTGGGAGATAAGTTATGTCTACATCTCATCATGTCAAATTTCCATGAATTTTTAATTAAGTCACTTAGATAACAATCATGACACGTATTGTTTTAGTTATATAATATTATAGTTATGAGTTGATTAATGCTGGCTTGCAATCATTAATCATGGGAAAATTAGTGATTCCTTGATACGCCTTCTATCAACCTTTGTCTTTACTTTTAAAGATAATACTATCAAATTTCAATCAATAAATTAAGTCTTATTTTTGGAATTTTTTTCTATAGAAAATCTAAACCCCTCAAAATTTTCATTTATACCTTTTCGAAACAAGAAGTAAAACTTTATAGTTATTTAATTTTTATTCAAAATTTGATATGTAATCCAGTTATTTTTATCTAACTATTAAGCTATTAAAAATGTTTAAAATTTCTTATTAGCAATTGGAATATTTTATCTGTTGTTTTATAAATTTTAATAGTTAAACAAATAGTGTAATTTTTAAAAGTATAAAATCATTCAAATATTTAAATAAAAAGTAAATTTTGTATTTAATAACTTCTTTATAGATTTTATTTTTAGTGTTTTAAAGTTGTAACCTGAATTCTACCCAAGAACTTTCATATTGAATTTAAATTAAATTAATTATATTTTAAATTTAGCATGTTATATTATTAATCACTATTTTTTTGTAATTATTTATTCACTAACACATGATCAAATACAAGCTACTTATGAGCTAAAAAGACAAAACAAATTTTTTATTTATTTTTATATAATCACAAATTGTTGAGTAAAAAATTTAAAATTGGATAGATTTAGAACTAAAATGGATATAATTATGAAAAGTATTATTTATCAGTCTTTATTGAAAAATTAATAGAACTTATTGGTCGTGAAAAAAAAAAAAGTTAAACCATGTCTTAGTGCATTAACAGAAAGTTTAATCAGTATATAATTTCAGTTATGGCTGTCCCCCTTTAAATTATTAATCCATTCTCTATTTTCTTGATTGAAGTCACTCAAGTCAACCACGTCATCTCTCTTCCACAAAAAAATAAATAATAAAAGTCATTTTCGAATAGTAGTTGGCCGACCTAACTGAATTTTTTTCAACTTTGTCCATGTGCATAAATGTTTAATAGTGTTTTTTTTTTTATTATTATTATTATTATTTGCATTTGTTCTAACAAATAGATTCTGATATAATATAATGACTATTTTGTTTAATTCATCTTATCAATAATTTTTTTTTAAAAAAATCCTTGATTTTTAGACCGGATATCTACCAATTAATTCTATTGGAATAGACCAATAAATCATCTTTCAATATTTTTTAAGAATAATAGTAATAATAATAACATGAAGTAGGGAAAAATAAAAAAAAAGGAGGTTGTTCCGGGTGAATTTATCTTCTTCTTTCTTTCAACTTTAACGAAAAAATTATGTTGGGAAACAATCAAGTTCAACATTAGCGGTATATGACCTATTTTTTTCAAATGAGAGGTAGATGATTTACAAATATATAAAGAATAATGATTTAGGGTTCGAATTCAGATTTGTTCAAATGAAATTTATGTGAGTAGAGACTTATGCTCGGCTAAGTGGAAAGGATGAAAATTGGATAGAAGGAAAAGAAGAAAGATGAATAAGAC